CACATAGGAAATGTTAGTAATGTATAAATGCTATAAAATAATGTTATAAATAAAATAGATAAATACTTATAAAATAAAGTTCTAATAAAGTAAAAATAAATTTAAAATTACATATAATTTTTGAATAAAAAAAAAAATTTTACATTAATATGTATTTTTACCTTAAAACAAATGTAAAAAAAAGTTACAGTGATAAGCAAGTATATAGCTTTCCAGTTCTGAACTAGTCTAGAATTTCCATGTAAAAGTACATGGATTTTTTTCATCATTTGTGCAACCATACTCGTTGTTTTTGGCGCCAAACACCGGGATAAGATACAATATATCTCGGAAAAGGTGGTGCACATTTTTTGTATGGAAGGCTCGAATTTATAAAATTGAAAGGCCACCGAGTGTCACCAAAAACGATCGAATATAACCGCGGAATATCCCGGAGCGATTACACATCCGGTGACCGGTGCGAATTGGCAAGCGGGATGTCAAATGTCAGCTGGTTATAAAGCGAGCATTCTCGAGAGGTAGATGCGCAGATATATATATATATATATATATATATATATATATATATATCACAATCGCGGGTATGTATGCACATACTCCCGAGCAACGTTACTAACGCAGAGATAACATCCCCGAAGGCACATAAGCCCCTCGTTTTATCCACCGAGTCGCTTTGTACGACACACTCGGCTTCTGTCATCGTCGTGGAACAATATACACGTGTATGTGCAACGACAACATTGTTGAAAGTTAACCGCGCGATAGCGAATAAACTCCTATACATGGAGGCCCGTCGAAGATCTCCGCGCGAGATGATGAGAGGCTGGGGAGATGAATTGATTTAAATTTTGACCGCAGAGAGAGAGAGAGAGAGAAAGTCGGGGGATGAACTGCGAGAGAGGGAAAACAGCGCGATTTAATTGTATTCGCGAACTATTTTCGTCCTCCATCAATTATTTCCTTCGGTTTCGAGGACTCTCGAATGTGGTTGCGTGGTGTGTGATTATTTTTATTTTTTTTTTCCTTTTTTTATTTTTTTTATTGACAATAAGTGGCACTTTCGGCGAGATAAAAACGATACGCGATATTTATTAGGGATTATTGTATATGGCGGAATTCAATTTGCCGTTCGATTTTTAATAAACGAGCAAAGAAGCGCAGAATCTATAATTATATTATTGATTTTTGTCAAATTAAATTTCCTGATTATTATAGTTATATGAAATAGAAAACAAAGACTTATATACATTTTTTTATAGAAAAGTTCGAAGCTTTACTTCAATGGATTTTAAATAACTGCAATTTTTCTTCAATATGTTATGTATCTATTATATTATAAATTTTTTTTTAATAAATAAGCAAAGACGAAACAGCATTTACATTTACAAATTGTTATTAATTTTCAAATTAAATTTCCAAATTCATATAATTGCACAAGTAAATTGAGAAAATGCTAAATGACCTAAATAAATGGCAATTTTGCTTCAATACATTAAAATTCCATTATATTGTAAATAAAAAATAAACAAATAATAATAAATATAAACTTAATTATACAAATACTCGTGCAAATATAACAAATTATATTGGCATTGTGCGGCCGCGACAGAAATTAATATCTATTTATCATTGGTGATTTAAAATTACAATGACATGATTGATTATTGAAGGGCCTGTGGATATAGCATTACTTTGTAGACTTGAGCAACATTGTTAATGATTAATGATATTCAAAATTCTTTTTAATTAAACATTTTGCGCATACATTATATATGTATACGATGTCATTTGATATGTTATAAAATGATTATATATATGATTATCTTTGACATTTTTTACATTTATTCCTCTTTTTGCATTCCTGGAATGCAATCACTTTGTTATAAAATAAATGCAATTGCGAAAGATTTTTATTCCAAGCGGATAAGATAATTTTTCTCTGCAAGAAGATAATTTTTTTCAAATTTCACATTACTCTTTTATCGTGTTTTTACAAAAATGAAAATGTTTAAATTGACAAATAATATAACTGATATATAATCGTTTTTATAGAAATTGAAGGAATCCAACGAGAAGCATAAATACGGACCATATTTTCTAAAAGAAAATAAAGGACAAGCCTGAAAATTTTAGGACTTTGTTTCCAAAATAAATTAAAAAATAAAAAATAAATAAAATAAAAAAGAAATAAAAAAAATAAAATAAAAAAGAAATAAAAAAATAAAATAAAAAATACTTGACTTAACATCGAGCGCGGATAAAGAACGAAAAACCCTGAGATATTCGGCAGAAATATATCGAACGGTGGATAGAATGAGTTTGGCTCCAAACCGATGGAATCGCCTCATTAATGAATGAAGCGTACATAATCCTCTTGTATCGACAGCTGCATCGCAATCCAAAATCTTGCCGCGTAATTATTATGCAATATCGCGAAACGTAACACTTTGAGAGAGAAATTGCACAACTTCTCTCACATCCCGGATCAGTTTCTGTTACTACGAATACTCTTGTTACGACAGTTCGTACAAAATATTGGCAAATATCAACGAGCAAAAATATGCAATTGTTTGTTTTTAATTCTATCATAAACTATTTTTGCAAAAATACACATATGGAGATAATACAAAATTTTTATGTTATATTTTAGGAAATTGTTGAAAAATTGCTAATTATAAAAAATATATAAAATTTAAAAAAAATATCAAAATCGATGAATAAAAATCAAAATAGTCATTAAAAAAATATTACATATATGTATAAATAATATTGACACATTGTCACATTGTGGCGGCGATTTTGAGGAGAAGAAACCCTCGTATTGCAACTTGAGCGCTAAAAATAAATGAGCGTGTATAAAATATGGAAGTTGGTGCAGCGAACATGTGAAGACTTGATCGTCGCGGGACGGTGGGTACATTTATCTGATAAAGAGGATCATCAGTCATCGCGAGGTTGCATAAATCATCGGGAAGTTGGCGGCGGAGCGATTTGTAACGTCGGAAACGACGGATATCCCGGATATTTTCTCTTCGCGCGTCCGCATGTATTATTTTTATATAATGGGGAGGAAAAGGTTTTCTCACCCTTATATAGGGTGTGAAAAAAGGGGCTTCGTTAAACGGACGAAAATTGTTCTGAAAAGAAAGCATCTGCACGGCGTCGAAAATCGAAGGCGAATTATATTAATTAACTCGCTCGCGGTTTTTCCCGATAATGACGAATTTCTCCGTGGAAGGGAGATGGAGGACTATATCGTGATCGCCATTACGTTTCCCGGATCATTTGCATTAAACAGGACATTTGTACGCGGCGACGCGTCGCTCTTCTCCGGCATCTACAATTACATTTCGACTAATATAATGGCCACGATCTCGCGACATAATAAGAATTATGATGAGCTAACGATATATATATATATATCTCTTCTACAATCTCGTCTCGTGCATGTGACAAATGATAGAATATATGTACACGTGCGTGGTAAGAGATGGGGAAGATATTTTCTAAGCTTCAAAAGAGGCGCAAGCATATTTTCAATTTTCACGATTTGTATTATGTAATATTTTACATTTTACGAACCACGGAAGAAAAAGCTGTAAAATTTACAAAAATGTATAATATATAACATAATATATATATATATAATAACGACCTCAGAAATTATATGTTGACCTAACACATTACATTTATTATGATGACACGTACAGAGAATCTCAGTCGTTCGTGGTCTTTCGAATCACATCGTGGTAGATATACCTAAAGATTGTAATAAAGTGTGTGCGAACATTTTGTATTCTTCCAACATTGCATAGTGTTAAAGCATTAATTTGTTGCAGTTAATTTAAAAAAAACTTATATCAATATACATGTGCAATTAACATACTGGACCGCATTATTGGGTAAGTCAAAATAAGTTAAAAATATAAAAACATATATTTGTCTACAAATACAAAAAAAATTTAATCATACCGTATAACGGGATTTTAAAGAATTTATATGCATATAAGCATAAAGAGAATAGTTTTATTCAAAATTATGTTTAAATTTTAATTCAGAGATAATTTCAAATAATGTCGATATTTTAATATTTTACGAATTGTAATGCTGAAATAATCTTGGACCCACAAAAATTTAATATCCAATAAATTATTTCTGAAACTTAAAAATACTATAATTTATATAACAGATAATAAATATTATAACAGATACACTTTTAATTGTCCTTTCATTACAAGATTATTAAAATTCTGTTTTATAAAATATGTCGTACTTATTTTTATAAAAATATCTGTGTATTTTAATATATAAAACGATATTTAAATTGTATGGACATTGAGAAGAATAACTGTAACAAGAAAGAAAAATCAGATATTAATTTTTGTTGTTAAAGATAATGTATGTAATTTAGAAAAATGAAAAATAGAACAATTATTATTGCTTTCAATTTGTATTTGATATATCCCTTTATAAGGGCGACATATTATAAAAAGTTTGAACACATTAATTTTTAAGTGAAAAAATAAATATAAATATAACACTTAAAAATAAGTAATATTATATTAATCATATAAGTTATAAACAGACAGAATATTAAATACTTTACGTAAAATATTTGAAATAAAACGTACAAAACGCATGTTAATATTAAATTGAAAACGCATAACAAATAGTTCATATATATTTAATAAGATACCATTAAAGCTGAAAGTTTTCAGATATGTAAATTGAATGTATTGTAAATGTGGTGTAATATTTATTATCAAGTTTAAACTTGATATAATTTAAAATTGAATTTATGTGGCTTAATTTTCGAGGAATGTCCGTTCAGTTTATGATACACAGTATAAAAGAAGAAATCAAACAGATTTTCAAAAAAACATAATAATAAACATGTACTTATAACTTGTTTATATACATACAAGAATAATTTAAAAAAACATCTGAGCTATATTTAATTTCTTTATTTATTTTTCATTTAGTGTTTTAGAGATCTAAAATAAATATTCTCTTTCTCCGACATGATGCTATTTCTAAAATTATTATTAAGTAGTGGATTAATTTTTATCGCTGCGACAGCTTCCACTCGTAATGAATCTTTATGCTATGAACCATCAGAATATATAAAACCAATATATTACGATATGAAGTACCAGTACCTTACATCACGTATTGGAGAAATTTTTTTCTTTGGAGAATGCAATATCAGCATAAGTATTCTTAACAAAACGCAAAGCATATATTTATATTCAAAAAGATTAAGTATTAACGATATAATGATATTTACAAATTTTGAAAGATATCATGAGAATGATAAAGATACAGTTTATAAACCGATACATAGTAGTTACATGGTAACTTATGGACAAGACACATTGAAATATTCAATTGAAATATTCGTTAGGGATGAATTATCACCAGGAAAATACATCTTAAATATAAAATTTGATGAAATTGTTGGTGAAACCTTTAGAATTTTCAACTTGAAAGAAAAAACTACGTGAGTAAATAATAAATGTTTATTAAAAAGGGTACAATATGCAATTACATAAGATATTGTAATTAATATACTATTTATGTATTATATGTCTCAAAAATTATTATATATTGCGGAATTTAAATTTAAGGGTGAACAATCTCTACCTTTATTATTATAATTATATGTGATAAAGTTATAAAATATAATATGTTGACGCATATAATATTTATACATTTTTTAATTCCCAATATTTTGATCCTTGTCAAAAGAGTTTCATTAATTTATATTCTTTGAAATGTAGTTGGATAGATGTTCCGCATATCCAGATAATGAGCGCCCGACGAATGTTTCCATGTCGGGATCAACAGGATTTATCGTTAGAAACAACCTTTAACATTACTGTAGAATGTAATCAATTCACGAATTTGTCAAATGTGCTGTCGCAAAATACGAAAAAAGTGAGGACAATTTGTTATGGACACGATTCAGTAACACACCTGTAATGTGGACTAATCACGCAACAGTGATTGTGTCTAATTACCTATTCATTTTTAATAATAAAAATCGAATCATTAAAATGCGGTACAGACATGATACTGGATTTGACACAGAATTTGCAAGAAATGTAGCTGAAAATATCACGATGTATTTTAAAAATAAATGGAAAGATTTGAACTATATTTCGATGATGGGTCACGTTGCAATTCCAAATTTCCATGACAAAGTTTTCCGATTTGTTTTTTCTAGGTAAATACAAATGCTTAATATTACATTAAAAATAAAATTATATTAGTACGTAATATTATAAAATTTAAAAATAGGTATATCTTTTGTTTCGGTAAACGTTCAAAATAAGGAATAGCGAAAACAAACAATTTTAGTAGAATTAAGTTTGTTCATATTATTAAAAAGTTAAAGTTTACTCTTTTAATACGTACATAAAGAGGAAAGTATGTATGCTAAATCGTATACATTAACATAATATATACACATTAACAGAAATTTATCGCTGTTTCATATTGTAAATTAAAAATTAAAAAAAAAATATTTTGTACGATTTACAATATACTGATTTGCTAAATTATACCCATGAGTTTGTAAATTGTACATCTAACAATCAAATTATAATATCGTAACAAAAATATAGTTTTATTTTTTATAAAAGTTCTCAGTCTTAACATTTAAATATAACTTTCAGGGAAACAGATATCGTCTACGATAAAAATTTATACCCTGTTGCTCACAAAATCCAAGTAACTCAATTAGTAGGACATGCAGTGGCACAGCAATGGTTTTATAATCTGAACCAACAGTTTCCGTCGTTTTGGTTCAATAAAGGTCTTACTACATTGCTTGCAACGTATGCTGTCAATGAGGTTATTCTATTTTTAACACTACACTGTAAAAAATATGTAATATATTATACAAAAATATGTAAAATTACATTAATAATAAGTGTAAAATTACACGACAAATAATAGAAATGTTTACCTTTTTATTATTTATCATGTAATTCTACATTTATTATTTATGTAATTTTATGCATTTTTAATGTAATTTTACATATTTTTTTTACAGTGTATCTCACTTCCACTTTCTCGCAAACGATAACAAGCAGGCATTTATATTGCAAGATTTTCGTATATCAAACTTTTTTACAAAATGTACATAAACTCTTTGTAAATTGTCTTAGAAACATTTAACATTATATAAAATATTAAATTGTTTTTTAGAAAATACTTTCACTTTTTTACATACATATATAATTATAATGTAAAGTATTAAAAATGTTTTCATTTTTTAACATCATTTAGATATTTTTAAATTTTAATGAAATCTAAAATAAAATAAATTAATCAAAAACTAGTACACACGATATTTATTTAAATTTGTTTGATAAGGAGAACTCTGCAATATAATATCATGAGATAATAATTTTAAAACTATATAATAATTGCTAATTATAATAATACGAAATTTTAAACTTATTATTATATTTATTTGTATGTCAAGTTACTTTTGATTTATTAATTTACTAGCAACAATAAAATTATTATTTATTCGTATGCGTTTTTCAAAATAAGAAAGCGCTTCTTTTTAACATAGAAGTAACGCTAATAATATTAGTATTTGTTTCTTTTGCAAGTAATTTCAGAGCAATTATATCGATATAATAATTTTTTTATAGATTTATCCAGATTATCGAATAATAAATTTATTTGTTGTTCAAAATCTACATTACTCTTTTCATTTGGATAGTATGTGCAATTCTACTTCAGAAGATATGAGTTTATTCAAAATTCGCCAATTTATCAAGGGTAACGAAATATAATAAAATTGTCCACGTAAATTTTTAATTATTAATATTATAAAAATATGTGTAAAATTATAAGATAATTAATTCTTTATTTGGATTTTAAAAATATATTAATTTTATACAAGTGCAAACATACACACACACGTATATACGTACGTGCGTATTTATGCATATTCTTTAATTAATATTTAAAGTATGTATACATATAAACAATATAGATGTGTGTATGTAATTTGCAACTAGCAGCTACATAGTTTTCCTTAAAAACTGTGGTATTTTTGCAAAAATATTGATTTTTCTCATTATTTTATATGATAAACGGTGCGGCAATAAAAACATTTCACTCTTATGCAATTCCTGTATACATATATATCATTTTTCTTTAAAAATTCACTATGTTTACAAGTAACCATTATAGTAACTGTATATTTATGATATATCTCTAATTTATAATTTTGATGTAAATCGTAGCACCCTTTATACTGCGCATGATGCAACACGCTTTCACTGAAGAAATATTTTGGACACTCATTCGCTCATATATAAATAAAACGTGAGTAATTCAATATAAAATATAATATCAAAAAAATAAAATTGCGTAACATAAATGTTTAATAATAAAAGTTTTATAAAATGTCCCTTATTTTTTGGCTCCTTCTGACATTTTTCTTTACGTTTTTTTTAGTCTAACAATTCCGTTATTTTCCTAGATCTGCTCTACTAGATTTATTTTTAATTTTATTACTTTTCCTATAAAAATCATTTCTATAGAAAGAAATTGTTGTTTTATTGTTGTCACTTTTTCATATACATATATACATGGTTGTTTAATTTTTGTTTCATGATTTGTTATTTTTAAAATAATTTTTAAATTATTTTTATTCTTTTTATTATTTCCTTTATTTCTTTATATCGTCTATAATTTTTATAATTTCTATTCTTTTAATTGCATTTTGTGCTACATTTGTTTTTTAATCTTATTTAATCTCTTATTTATAGGCTTTTAAATATCTAACACTATTATATCTCTTTTCTATCACTTCTCTATTTTTATTTTCGTCTTTCGTAAATCGATCTCCTTTATATAATTTTTCTTATTTTTGTTTTGTCTCCAACTTCTTATTTGTTTTTTTTCCTTTAATCATTTTATAACTCTCTCAATACTTTGCTCAAATATAATCTATATATATTAATGCTAATAATAGCTAAAAAAATTTAATAAAATTATAAATTGTATTTAAAATTATGTTATATTCTTTATTATCATGATATAAATAGAACATATATAAATATATAAATGAAAGTGCAATTTTATATTTTGCTTCTTAGTATTTATTAAAATTTTTATAATATTAACATTATACAGACAATTTTAACATATTTGTAATATATTTTTATGTATTTTACGTACTGTGTGAATTTAGAACTATTCTGAATTTTTGGAAAGTAATTGTTACTACTGCAATGAAACTAAATATTGCTCTAGACATAATGAGATATAGGGATTGTCCTACCATAAAAATAATACGAAATTATAAGGATGCTATGAGCCAAGCAAATGTATCGATACAAAATATCGACACATTATTTATTAACTGTCTTCTTCTAACTTTTACTACACAAACGTCTCCCGATTTTAATCATTTTACTTATCATGAAGTATGCAGGTCAAGGGATTTAAAACTATCAGCATCTAAAGAGAATGGTTGGATTATATTCAATATACAACAAATTGGTAAATATCGACCAATGGACTTACTTACCTATTATGACTTATTTCTCGTCTTTATTTTACACACACATAATTGACATTATTTTATATTTTTATCTATTTTATTCATTGTTCTATAAAAATCTGAAATATTCATTATATAACTATAATATTAAAATGTTATATAATATTAAAATGCTATAGTTTTAAAATGTTTTGTGTAATATTCTGCATTATTATATATAATTAGGATATAATATCGGCGTTTTCCATTATAATATTAATTAATATTAAAGTATATATTTTTACAAATATTTTATTCTAATATTAACAAAAATTTTAAAAAAGATAATTATATTTATAAAATTAGTATAATAATAAGTACAAGTAAAACATATAATTTTCGTAAAATTACATGTTACAGAAATTTTACTGATTAATATAAAATAATTATTACATAATTTATGCACAACTAGAATCAATTTTATTTTATTCTATACAACAATATCTTGTACAGTTTTATTTTTTATTTTAATTAATTTTTTATATGTATTTGCATTTTATTTATATATGTATTAAATTTTTAATACGTTTTTAATTTATAATTTATATAAACAAAAGTATGAAATTAAAATGTTTGAAAATAAATATATTATAATGATAAAATTATTCAAAATAATAAACATTTATAAAATTTATTTATTATTCGACAGGATATTATCGCGTGAACTATGATGATGAGAATTGGCGAAGAATTTCACATTATTTAAACCATGATGATTACACGAAAATTCATGTTCTTAATCGTGCCCAAATTATCGATGATGCATTTCATTTAATGATAGCAGGCCAACTCAATTCATCTATATTCTGGGATATCATATTGTATCTAAATCGAGAAGAAGATTATATAGCATGGTATCCTATGTTTAAAGCTCTGGAATACATGTTCGGTACTTCTTTTTTAGTGTTGAAAGAAAAACATGGAAATCTCAAGGTAAATATTAATAGATTTCAATGAAATTGTTATATTTCAGATATTGATATATATACACTCATTCATTATATAAGTTTAAATACTCAGAAAAATATATACCGCAACAATAAAATTTTACATACTATTAACTACATTGCAAATAAATGTGCACACAAATTCAGTTTGAATAATCACTCACGTGAAGAACATGCCCCAAAGTGTATGATTTTCACTACTGCCAATATTTATTTATTGGCGACTTTATTTTAATCTTTTGAGATTTTAATAATAATTTTTAAATACATTTATAATATAAACAAAGAAATATATATTTAACGATTTTTAGAATTACATAAATGATAAATTGAACGGGGTATTTAAAAGAATTAAATATGAAGAAATTGATGATAGTGACGATTTTAGAAAATGTTTACGACAAGAAGCAGCAAGATGGGCGTGTTTTTTCGGTGACATTACTTGTAAGGAAAAAGCCAACAATAAATTAAAACAACATATCGAAGATCCTAAAACACACAGGTAAATATTGTTATATATTTTTAGCCTTTCTTAATTAAATTTTCTTATAGATATCTTCTATAATGTTTAAATGATTTGATCAAGAGACTCATATGCTAATTTTTAATATGAAAATTTAATTTTTTATATTTTAGACTTTTGCCATGGTGGAAGGAATGGACATATTGTAATGGTTTGATGATGACCAAAGAAGAGACCACTTGGCAATCAGTGTATGATATAGGATTGAATAAATCTGACACTAAATTTTTAGAATACTTGGCTTGCCCTGAAGATACTAATCTCATTAAAAAGTATTTAACATTTAGACAAAACATTTCTACAGAACAGGAATATCCAAATCATTTTAACAGTTTCTTACATATTATTACGAAGCATGCGAAGAATCAAATTATACTGGAGTACATATTAGATCATTTTAACGAAATAAAACCAAAGTAATGTGGCATATTTTTATAAATATTGTGTACAAAAGTTTATTGTGTGTTTTATATATACATTTGTTTTCTCGTTTTCAGATATGTTAGTACACCTGCAGCATTAATTATTATTATTAATAACGTATATTTCCTAGATCTAACTGAGGTAAAAATTTTACATATATATACAAAATGTGATAATAATGCGATATTAATAATTATTATTTAATGTTTAAAATAATTTTGATAATGTTAAAAAAATAATACATTTTAGCAAATATTCGATAGCGTTAGAGATATTATAGAAACTAACTTAGTTGAAGTGAATAACACAGATTTACTGAAAAGACAGAAAAGACATCAAACAGAGGAGGTAAATTTAATAAATATTATTATAGAAAGCGAAACAAAAAGAAATATTGTTCTATCTTATCAACTTCTGAATATTATTTTTATATTTGTTTTATTTGTTATATAAAAAGTATGTTGATTTCATTGTGCATATCTTTGTTTATTTTATATATATTAGATTTTCGTAATGTGGAATAAGATTACAATTTATTTAATTATATTATAATTAATAAAACGATTTGTTTTAGATGAGTGACATTGTGATAAATAAGCATAATTTACGTTACCAACTTAGACGCAAGATAAACATTCGGAACAATCAAACCGAAAGACAGAGACAGAATTTTGAAATATTCTGCCAATGCGATGAATTTGTTTGTGAAACGGAAAAAATGTCCAGTTTTGCGTAAATGGAATTACTTTAATAAGCCTCTATATAAATTCGCCCCTGAACATATGAATAATTTTTTATATTGATTGTACTATTTTTTTACTACTTTAATTATTGCTTATTTAGATGTATTACTGTTCGCTGCTTCTGTATTTACAAAACTTTATGACTGCATGCATTAAGTTTTTCACTTTTTTGCGATCTTGCTTGAAGTAGTTGAAATATATATTATTACCTGTGTAGTCACAAGAAAGTAGCTATATAATATTATAATAAATTTTATTGTTGGATATAATATGATAATATAAATGTGTAAATATAAATATATAAATATGCTTGTTAAATAATAAATGCACCTAAATGTACTATCTATTTATTTTGAATTATATATTAATTTGTTTTTAATTTTTTTTACGTAAATTAATAAAATTATATGTTTACGCATACACACACACATACACACACAAATACATATATATTTATATTTATAACAAATTAATATTTAAATATTATAAAAATTTACAGCCAACATATTTATGTTTATATGTATAAAAATTTGTTATTATTTATATATATATATATATATATATATATATATATATAAAATAAGTATCTGTAACTATAAGAATTAGTAATACGTTAACGTTATATGTGAACTAATAATTATATGTGATATATGTTCAATAATTAAATATTTGACACATTTAATGTTATAATCTAAAATTTGTAATTGATTAACATTTTTTAGTTTACAATAAATCACATAACACAATTTTTTTCTCTCTCTCTTTCTCTCTCTCTCTCTCTCTCCCTCTCTCTTGTGTAAATCCACATTCTAATTTCAAAAAGTTATTTAAATAAAATATTAATCTTAGAATTAATGAAAATAAAATATCTTAAAGTTAGGCGCTGATCATTTTTTAACCCCCGGTAATTTATAATCCTTTAAGGTACAAACAAAAAATCAAACGGTACAAACAAGGTACAAACGGATCATATTTAAAAAAAAATATTTTTTTCAAGTTGGGCGCCAGGTTCATATCGCAGTTATTTTATGACCCACAGAAGAAAAAGCTGTAATAATAAAAAAATTTTACAAAAAAAATGTTTCCCATAAATATTTAACATTCTCATTTTTATATATAAAAATATAATATATAATGTTATATGATCATAATATATGATATATAATATTATATGATTTGAAAACTAAAATTACATAATTTTCTTAAATTTCATGCCACTTTACAGCTTACAGGGAAGCACGAAATTATTCTAAAAATTTGAATATATATAAAAATATATTATTTGAAATTATAATAATTACAAAAATATATTTATTAAAAATTATAGAAATTATAATATATACAATAAATATATATATTTGAATATATATAAAAATATATAATATATAATGTTATATGACTATAATATATGATATATAATGTTATATGATTCGAAAACTGAAATTACATAATTTTCTTAAATTTTATGCCACTTTACAGCTTACAGGGAAGCAGGCATGAAATTATTCTAAAAATGTGAAGCATCCGCCGTAGCATGTATGACGGTACGTAACATATATCGATCGCGTGCGTAACGTTATTAGTTATTCAATAAAACTGGATCGCGCGGCGATGCTTCATAAATCAACGGAACGTAAATCTACAGGGACGAAATGCAATTTCTATCTAGCCTCGATATCGATATGTAACATCGGCGTGACATATGTCGCATTGTTAGCTGACGCGATGTAATGGAGCGATGTATTGCATATACAGCTCGTAGTTCTTTAATAACCACGACAAAGAGAAAGCGATGTATACACGTACATATATTCTATACAATCGCAGTCTGTTTTAAGTGTGTTAGTGAAGTTAAAATTTATACATGAAATGTTTGCCTATACAAATCAGTTTGATTATTTAAATATGCATGCATATACATATACGAAAATATATAAATATATGATATAAATGAAATATAAATTTATATAATATATAATATAAAACAAAATATAATATATTTATATATAAATATAGTGTATCTAAATAAATGCAAAAGATAATTAGGAGATGATTTTTTGATGAAATTTAAGGGGGGTTTTTCTTATATAACATCCTTTTCTGAGGAGTTACACAAAGAGGAAATTAAAATTAAGTTTTCATTTTTTTCTCAAATTTCAGACGGATTTAAAAAATAAAACGATGTGGAATATTTTCCATTAATAAAAAGGATATTTAATAATATTTTTTTTATCTTCCTGTATCATTACAGGGGGATGAAATAATTTTTCTTTAGAAAAGTGTAACTCCTCAAAGAGGGATATAAGAGAGTATATGTTTATATAAGAAACTCCTCTTAATTTTCGACAAAGAATCATGTTTTTCGCACTTATTTATATAGATACACCCTGCATAATATGTAATATACAAAACATACAATATAAAAATATATGAAAATATGTAGTATATTAAACGTGTAAAATATAAAAATAAAAGAAAATATATATAACATTTATAATACGTATAGAAATATATTTTGAACAAAGCTTGCTAATTTATAAAACTTACACAGAATAATTAGATTAATTCGAAAAATGTTTTCAGTAATGAAACAATTAAAGAAGAGTGAGAAACAATTTTATTTTAAAATAAAATTATGTAAAAAAATGCGGCACGCTATTTTGAATAATACAATTGACAATTGCAGGTATTTCAATGTGTTGTTAGACAGGTATCTCTTTAATTAAGTTTTCATTTTTTTCTCAAATTTCAGACAGATTTAAAAAATAAAACTTGATATGGAATATTTTCCATTAATAAAAAGGATATTTATTAATATTTTTTTTATCTTCCTGTATCATTACAGGGGGATGAAATAATTTTTCTTTAGAAAAGTGTAACTCCTCAGAGAGGGATATAAGAGAGTATATGTTTATATAAAAAACTCCTCTTAATTTTCGACAAAGAATCATGTTTTTCGCACTTATTTATATAGATACACCCTGCATAATATGTAATATACAAAACATACAATATAAAAATATATGAAAATATGTAGTATATTAAACGTGTAAAATATAAAAATAAAAGAAAATATATATAACATTTATAATACGTATAGAAATATATTTTGAACAAAGCTTGTTAATTTATAAAACTTACACAGAATAATATATAGATTAATTCGAAAAATGTTTTCAGTAATGAAACAATTAAAGAAGAGTGAGAAACAATTTTATTTTAAATTAAAATTATGTAAAAAATGCGGCACGCTATTTTGAATAATACAATTGACAATTGCAGGTATTTCAATGTGTTGTTAGGCAGGGGTATCTCTTTCCCTCGCTTAAACTTCACCTGGGAAGAATTCCTCTACTCTCGGTTATCGCGTAACGAGAAACTGATACTGTTCATCTCGTTTCTGAGAGCGTACGATGTATCTCGCGAATCGTTTCCCGAATACATACCATATATATATACACGTGTCGCAATTGTACGACTATTGATCTTGCATAGCGTCGTATTTGAGAATTTCCATCCGAAAGCTTCGGATATCGCGACACGTACATCACTTAGCTCGCCCTGAATAAAGGGAAGATGATACGGCAAGTGATGGTGTTATGCACACAATGAGATGGTAATCCATACTGAGCAATGCTTACATTTTCCAGGAGCCGGCATATATACGTATCAACGGAAGGGCTCAAGATGAGGATGAAAAAGAGACGAGGAAATTTTGACAGCTGACGCGACGTGGGAATTCCTTTTTTTTTCGGTGAGACTTTTTTGTACGAAATATATTTTTTCTACCTTTCTATTATCTCCCAATAATTCTCCACTTCCTCATTTCTTCCAGGGATTTCTTCCTGTCACTTGATCTCTCCGCAATTGATCGCCAGGGCAAAAAAAAGGGAAAAACCGCGATAATACGCGAGAGTTCGCTTCCTCTTTCTTTTTTTTTTTTTTTTTGGTTTTCTTTCTCCCTCTCATTTCTCGTATGCCACGAGATATCGAGCCGAATCACGAGTAGTAACCATTCAAGGAGAGGTAAGCTTTATATACGATCAGATGCGGTAGCAATTTATTTCCTTCCGCTGCCCTCTAGAACAGGACTGCTCTCCAAAGAAGAGAGCTCGTTCGAACAAAACAACAAATATCGTACAACACAGTCAATTCGAGTACGATATATCTATATACATGTGGATATCGTAGTGTTCGCGTAATTGAGATAAAAATTGGTGGTTCTTGTTTTAAACGCGAGGATAGAGAAAATGACATATATATATTGCTCGAATAATCGTAATAAATGGAAGTCGAATTCGATCGATTAATTTTCACTTATATCATTTGCTCGATACACGTTAAGGATATATTGGATATAAATAATATTGAAATTTTTATTAAAATCAATTATTAAGTATGCATTAATGCAAGTGATTGCACAAAGCGATTTTTAATAGATATATTATTTTTATTAGGGATATTATCTAAATTAGATACAATTTTTAATTAGATGACATTATGATTAATAATAAAGTTTAATAAATTAAATTAAATTAATTATTATAATTTATTTCTAAAATAAATATAAAATATTATAAAAATAATATTAATTAAAATTATTAAATTTTTGCCAAACACTTTTAGATGTGAAAATACTCTTTAAAAAGTAAAAAAATTCGCGAGTGTTTAATAATAACTGCATCGCGTTTTTTTTTTTTTTTTTTGAGTAAATAACTTTCGAACGAGTCAACGAATCCGAATGAAATTATCTTGCACAAAAAGAATGTTTGTTCAAATTTTGTAAATATATACAAAAAATACATCTAATTAGCACAATTTTTTTCCTTTCCAAATTTGGCAATAATAAGTGTACACGCGATATATGATTTTCCATAAAAGATCAAACGCAAAAATTACATAAAAAAACCTGTCTCGCGTAATGTACAAATTTTTGTACACACAGTGTCCCAGAATTATCGGATCATCTGTTAATTTGGAGACGATTTTTCCTCAGGGAAAATATCGAGGAGGGCCATCATTTTTTATATGTTCCCAATTTTTGCCATAATGTATCTTTTTTAACTAAACCTTCAATTAAAATTCTATATTAAAGTAGGATAAATTTGAAATTAATTCAAGAATATAATTTTGTTAATATTTTATTTATTTATATTACGAGGCTTAAAAAACTCTCTACTTTCAGTCGCTTACAACTCGAAAATTACTGGTGCCTCGACATTTTCGGCGAGGAAGAGTCGTCTCCAGGTGGTCCCAGGAATCTGCAGGAAAATTAACAGAGGCGATCCGTTAACTCTGGGACACCCTGTATACGTACGTTTAAAACGTATACATATTTCGCATATGCAGATCGCGTGGCCAGGAAGGGAAAAGCGGATCGTAACAGCTTGCCTAAATTCCATCTAAATTCAAAACAGGGTTGAAATTGCCACCAACAGGCGCGTAGGGGATCCTCGACGCGACAAGCAACGATTCTAGCCGGCTAGACACGTGGGGTCAAAGGCAGACAGACACATTCGCTTTTTTAAATACCTTTTCTCCTCTTTCTCTCTCTCTCTCGCGCGCGCGAAGAAGCTCGTCCGATATGGTACAGCAATATGTATGGCATCATCCCGTGGATGGGGCAAAATATAAAGCTGCTTCTTCCTTCTATGCAGAGGAAAAAAGGTGTCTCGCCTACTCGTATGACGCGACTGACGTTTAATTAAATTGCGAGACGGTATATATTTGATATGAGCGGAACGGAAAATGTTAAATGCGCATAATATAGAGCGCTCAAAAAGGGATTATTTCTGTTTTACATATGATAAAATTCGAAGTTTTGGCAAAATAATCGTAAGAACTCGATGGAAGAATTGAATTTTCCCCATAAAAAATAATTGTGAAATTATAAATGACAATGGAAAAACAAATAAAAAAACAAATCTAAAAATCATCAATCCAAAAATCACACAATTTAATCATCAAGATAGTTTGTTAAAAATGAGAGTTGCGAGGAAATAAATTAGTATAAGTCCATATATCTTTATACATCATATTGGTAGTATTTTTTATAGCCATTATATAGAAATAAATTATTTATTTTTCTTATATAAAAAAAAAAAAAAAAACAAACAGTATCAATCATTATATGTTGAGTATTTGTGTCATTTTCTCGCAACACATTTTTTAAATAAAATTATTTTCTGTAGCTTTAAGATTTATTTTGTTACTTGTATGTCTTATCATTGTTACGCAGCATTTAAATATATTTTCAATAAATAAATATTGGTGTGAGCAGTTTTGTTACTTAAACGATGCGAAGATGAAAAAAAATTATCATTAAATTGATTGATCGAATCAAGTTGTTAATGACAAACTTATATAAGGATATTATCTTTATTTTGAAAACATAATTTTATCCAGAAAACTATGATGAAGATTTCAAAATGAATACTTGTCAGATTTTGTTCGTTTTTTTTGTAATTCTGTTATATTTTCAGGCATAATTTTATTTATTCGTATTTTAATGCAGTTGTTATACTGTAATTTATTTACGAATATCTTCCAATTATATTACATTTGCGCACATAGAATTACATTTTTTGTGCTCTATTCATCATATGCTCTATTTTAAAAGAAAAATATAAATGCATTATAATTTATAATTCGTTATGACTTATTTAATTTGTAATATATGTAAAAAAAATCAAAAAGTTGAAATTCTAATACAAATATATCACGAATCATTTATTCATTATCTATATATGATGTAATGATATATTCACTGATGAATATATCAAACATCAGAAGTATAAATCACTTATTATTTATAATAATAATTATAATTAATAATATATATAATAATTAATAATTATAATTATTATAACAATTATAATAATTTATATTATTATTTATATTTAAAGTCATTACTACGTGAGAATTATTTAGAATCGCTAAAATTTTTCATTAAAAAAGGTATATAATTTAATTTACTTTTCTCTAAAAGCCAAAAAATCTAAAATCAAATTAAAATTTCTATAATTTTTAAACAATAAGTATTTACAATTAATCAGACTTTTTTTCAAAGCGAAAAAATTTGCCTTTAGTTAATATTATATAGGAGGTTATTGTATAATGACCTATGTATAAATTTTTAAAAATTAAAATATAAAGTCTGCAATGATAATAATGTTAATATATATATAGTCAATTTTAATGTCAATTCTTATATATTATTGGCCAAGTAATAATAATGAATAACATTTTAATGTACCCACACAGTTTCAATTGTACTGCAAATATTCGCAGAAATGTAGTAATATATAATATTATATGATACTAAATTTTTTTAGCACTTGAAGATTTTCTCCTTACATGCTGTATACTTCTAATCACTTATAGAAATTTAATATAGTTGATAGCAACGAGACACAGAAAATAATGTGTTTAATGTTGGTGCTATTAATACTATTCCCAATAAGATAACAGAAAATTCAAAGTAAACTATGATCAAATATAATGCTCAATTCAGCTTCACATCGCAAAAGAAGTAAAAGGTAAAACCAAAGTATCTAAAATAAATCTTAAATAGCTAGTCTCTTTTCTGTACAATAGTAATAGTTCTGTGCTGTAGCTGCCTGCTACTTGCAAGTTTATATAAAGTAATACAAGTTATATTTGTTAACCCAGATATCTCTACATATAAAGACTTAATAATAATCATGGTGGAAGAAAATCCACCATGATGATAATTATCCAATAAAATCTTAGGAGCCATCACGAGTTTAATAATTAAAAAGTTTACAATGGTATAACGCGAATCACATAGCGTCTCATACCTGCCTAAGTGATATAGCAATACTTTCCTTTGCTATAGGTTTACAAATCTTCCTGGTTGTACTCTTATAAGACTTTTATTATATTAACATATAACGAAATTTTAAATAAATTCTAAGTAAATACTTAAACTATTTTGCTTATATATTCCACATCATCGTGATACTTGAAAAGCTATATCTCTTAGTTATCATCAGCGTCATCGTCGTCGTCGGATATATATTTCTTAGTTACTCTTTTTCTACGACCACCTCTGCCCTCGCTTTTTCTTCCTTTCAATTTAATTTTCATTCTGACACTAGAATCTGCGTCTGAACCCTCTTCACCATCTGCAAGAAGAAGAAATAAGCATTTCATAGTCACTTAAATTTTAGCTCTTTTTACAACATATACATACCCTTATCGTCTCCGTCAGAATTACCCTCCTCTTCAAGACGTTGACGCGCATTCGTAAAAACAGATTGCAATACTATCGAGTCTTCGTGAATTAAAGATGCTTCTTCGTTATAAATTTGAGCATTCTTACAAAGTTGCATAAAATCCTTCTCAAGCTCGTCTAAATCAGCATACTGAAACAATAAAATTATCAGATAATATACAAGTGTTTAAAAATATATTAATATATATTAAAATATATGTTTATATATAAATAATTTTTGAAAAATATATATATTATATATAAAGAACAATGGATATACAAGGATATACTTACTTTGCCCTCCTCGATCTTCTGCAATAGTTTATTAATAGTCAAAGGTTTCTTGATAATTTCGTAATAATCTGGCAATTCTCTTCGAGAAGGTAATTTCATAAAAGGTTCGCTCAATAATCGACCGTCAGTGCTGTCCGTATAATTAACAACTACTGTAATTAACTTCTTCATGGCTCGTTTCATTTTAGGATCGACCAAAGATCCGGCTCCTCTTCGTTTCTTCGGTATAGGCTCGTCGTCCTCTTCGCCCTTCTTCTTTCGTTTTCGCGTCTTCTTCTTCTTCTTATCGTCTTCCTCCTCCTCTTCGTACTCGGCGCCATCATCATCGATCGCCTTCAGCCATTCCTTCTCGGTTAAACTGTCCGTATAATCGACCTCTTTACGTTGCCTCGAACCTCTACCGAGGAATCTATCCTCGTCCTCTTCGTAGGTCCATCTTTCAACCTCGTCGTCGTCCTTCACCAGCCAGTCAGGCAGCTCAGCTTCCTCCAACAATCGTGATTTACGATTCGGGCCCAATTTGGCTTCCTCGCGTCGCCGTTCCAAGTCCAATTTCTGGAATGTCTCGAATTCACCTTCTGTCCTAGCGATCATCTGATTCACCGTCTCGTCGTCGGGTACTTCGTTCTCCTCCTCGTCGTCAGCGTCGTCTTGATGCAAGATACTCTGAAGGAACTGCTGTCGCTCCGATCCGGTGGATTTTTGATCAAACATACCAGCCTGAATCACCTTCTCATCCATGTTCAATTTATATCTCGCCGCTGCCAATATTCGCTCCTCGACAGAGTTGACGGTCATCAATCGAAGTACGCGCACTTCGTTCTTTTGTCCAATTCTGTGGGCTCTATCCTGAGCTTGAAGATCCTGCGAACGAGTGTTATATTAATTATTATAAATTAAATATTAATTATAAATTAATATTATGAATTTAACATCACATACCTGATGAGGATTCCAATCGGAATCGAAGATGATGACCGTATCCGCAGCCTGAAGATTCAAACCAAGACCACCTGCGCGTGTAGATAATAAGAAAAGGAAGTATTCCGATCCAGGATCGTTGAACTTCTTTAATAGATCCCCTCTGTCCTCCGCTTTTGTTGTGCCGTCCAATCGCAGATACATGAATCCACGCCAACCCAGATAATCTTCCATAATTGTCATCAATTGAGTCATTTGACAGAACAGTAATACTCGATGATTCGTAGCTTTCAACTTGGGAAGAATACGATCAAGGAGTTCGAACTTTCCGGATGCACGAAACAGATCGGGACTGTCGGTAAATCCAAAGAAATTGAATAAATAATTGTTACCTGTATAAAAATTGTTTGAAAACGTCGTCGAGATAATACTTACCCAGTAATAACACCGGAGCCTTGCGTGCCTACGTGTTCGCAATATTTCTCTTCTATAGCTTGGAACATAAATGGATGATTGCATAATTTCCTCAGTTGTACGATTGTGTTCATCAGAGCTTTGGCACCACCCTTTCCTTGCTTTCCCTTTTCCGATCCATCGGTTAGCAGTACACCTTTACTCTGCATATGTCTGTGGCACAGAAGAAGAGTGTTATATTTTTTTTACATGTAAATTTAATATTTAAAAGCACATAGATGTCGTAAATTAACATACTTGTAAAGAACTTTTTGTAGGCCAGACATGTCGCATTTGATAATGTATTCCACTTTGTCGGGTAACTGCGACTCCACCTCTTTCTTCAAACGTCTCAGCAAGAAGGGTCGCAGAACTTTGTGCAAACGCCGAATAATCAAAATGGTTTCTTCTTCATTAAGTTCCACCTGTGTAACAGCAATGAATGATATTAATATTGGATGAAAATATATTGAATATTGAAACGATCTCGCACCAAATACATAGGATTTTGGATGGAATTGGCTGTTTTTTTATGTGTAGCTTATAATCTGCTGACTGGCTGTAAATCAGTAATCATCTATTATTTAACTTTGAGCCTATTACATTTTTGTTCATAAGCTGCAATAATGTGAGAAAACCAGCTGATTCAATTTTATATAATTAGTAAGAGATTTTTGAACCTATATAAAATCCTAGATAAAATTGAATCTCGATAAAATTATTTACAGCCAGTTAAATATGAGCAACTCTACGAGTTGTTTACAACATATAAAAAAACAACTAATTTCATCGAATTCAAATCCTATGTATACGTAAAATACTTACCTTCTCGCCGGTAGTCGCGAAAGGAGCGTTGAACCACTGTTCGAACGTACTGCAGGATTTGAAGATCGAAGGCAATAAGAAATTCAAAAGAGCCCACAGTTCTGGCAGTTTGTTTTGCAACGGTGTACCAGTTAACAACAATCGATGAGGAGCCAAGTAATGCGTATTTAGCACTTGAGTAAGTTTGCAATGATGATTCTTCATCCTGTGTCCTTCGTCGATAATCATATACTTCCACTGCAATTTTGCTAGCACACCCTTGTCTTTTATAACGTATTCATACGTTGTTAATAAGACGTTGAATTTTGTAGCTCGCATTTGAGATTGTATCGCTCTTCTGCCGGCCGGAGAACCTTTGTACGACACCACGACGACGCTCGGCGCCCATTTTTCAAATTCGAGAACCCAATTCGACAACGTTGATAAAGGAACAATGATAAGGAATGGACCATTGACTTTCTTCTTTTCCATAAGATATGTTACCAGAGCAATGGTCTGAATTGTTTTGCCGAGACCCATCTCGTCCGCCAAGATGCCATTCAAATTGTTGTTAAACAGCGAAACTAACCATTCCAATCCCTAAAAATCATTGATTAAACTCGTTTATTCATAGAAAAAAATATATCACAATAGAAATTAAAATCAGAATAAAATACCTTGATTTGATACTCCTTCAGTTGTCCATTCACCATAATACTCGCTTGTTCCGTGACCACCTCGTGAACAGTATGTGCGATACTGTAGTACGTCTGTTCCTCTGTCTTATATTCGTCATCCTCCACCTTTGCCTTGTGTATCGTCTTCTTCGCTTTCTCCTCCTCGGAATCGCCCGTAGACCTGTCCTTGCCTGCAATTCGCATTTCGTAAATTTCGAATTAATAAAAATAAAATCTATAAAGGAAGTTTGAAAAACGAATCCGAAAACCCACTATCGGACTTATCCTTACTTTCATCCTCTTCTCCATTTTCATCTTCTTCGTCGTCTTCACTTTCCGACTCGATTGGCTCCCATCCAGGATGAGCCTCCAAGAATGCTGACAACTGACTCATCAGTGGTGCCTCGTCGCCAGTTAATGTGCGACCAGTGGCTGTATCTATGACACCAACGCGAGTATCATTCGTGCTACCATCTTCTCCAGTCTCGCCATCTTGTAATTTCTTCTTTTTCTGTAATCGTATATAAAGTTTCATTTACAGTTCGTTCGTTCATACAATAATAGTTATATTTTTTAAGAACTTGTAAAAAGAGCTTTACCTTCTTACGCTTTTGCTCCTCAACTTGCTTCCTCTTCTGTTCTATTTTGTGCTGCTTCACCATTTCCGTGAGATTGCTGATGTATTCGTCTGTTTGGGATAGCAAGAAAGCTAAACGCTTGTCTTTCTTCTGATCGATCAACTTCCTGTATCCCTCTTCGTCCTCCGCCATAAGACGACGCATACGTTCCTTCTCGATGCGTTCCTGTTCCTTCTTCTGTTCTCGTTCAGCATTTGCGTGGTAGTTGAGTACCGCCTTGTTGAGCCTGGCCAGCTTCGCGATGTTGTTGCGATGGAATTCTTTGAAATCTTTGCCATGTTGCAAGACGGAACTGAGAAATTCCTATAAACGTGCAACGTAACAGCATTTATAGTCGTATTTCGTGCTGATGGGAACTCAGATTTCATATAATTTAAATATGAATAAACCTACTTGATGCTTCTGTCTTCGTTTACGTTCTGCCTCCAGTTTCTGTTGCTTCTCTAATTTCTCGGTAGCTCTAGCTTCGCGCAGTCCTTGCCGTTTCGTACGTTTATAAGCCTTCACGTTCACCGCAGTTTCCAAGGTAGTGTCTTTTCGGGTACACGCTATTATCTACAAAAAAAATTAAGAGAAAATTTAAAAATTCCTCTTATATAAAAGGCACAAATTTGCGCAAAATAAATCTTATTTATATTAATAAACACCTCTGTTCTTAATTGCCTCTGGAAGTTTAGTACTCTGAGCATACGCAGTTCGATCTGAGCCTGTATACGAAGATCCTCTGGCATATTTGTCGGTAGATTGGTAAGCTGCTCCATTCTAAGAGATATACGAGCCGCTACTCTGCTCAGATGTTAAGTTTATAGTTATTATTATTTATTGCTTTGCTGATGAATATACAGAATGTCCCATTTTAATCGATTTACATAAAAAAATATGGTTTCATTTAAAATCACATAATTGACCTCCAAATGACTTTGAAAAGTACTCTTTAGAAAAAAGTCTGTAGTAGCATCTTCTGCTCTCCTTCAAATCAAACAACTTCCGTTTGAAACATTTTATCATACAATTAAAAATAAAAAAATGTCTGAGGATGATCGATTAAAATGGGACACCCTATTTATATAAACAATAGCGCGACAAACGACATGTTCCTTCACAAGATCGCCTCTATACCTGTTCTCTCGTTCCTGCAATATCAATAACGGATCTAATCCAACGGGCTTCGCCACGCTCGTCACTCTGTTGGTCTTAGCGCCTGGTTGAGGCTGCTGCTGTTGCTGTTGCGGCGTTTGACAACCGGGTCTAGGAGTGGGACCTGCGGGACCAATAACATTCGGACCTGGTATTTGTGGCCCAGCTGTTGCAGCAGGGCCTTGAGACGGATCTATAGGGCGTTGACCCATCCCTGGAGGAGGAGGACCGCCACCTATCCAAATCCGTCTTAAATCAGGATCATTCTACCCTATACTTTTGTAAATACCACAATCACATCCATCTTATTTTTCTTGCACTTCCACAATGTACAAATGCCGTAAGCATTAATGTAATCGGCAAGCATAATCTTTCCAGAATTGCACATTCTAATGTAATAAATAATAGAGAACTATAATTGAAGTCAATAGACAAGTATCCTTCAATGATGCAATACGTATATTTAAAAAAAGCTCTTAAAATAAAACATTGAGCATGTAGGAGCATCGTTCACGAATTTCTAGTATGTTACAGACGACAAACTACACAAGGCATAGCTCGTATTAATATTTGTAATACATATACTTTTATAATTTTAAGGGCATACAAAACTTAAAAACAAAAGCAAACAGATGTATAATAGAGAAATCAAAAAATATCGACTAAAAAGATTTTCGACTTCGAATAAGCAAAATAAACTCATGTGGCAGAAAGCGATACAAAAGATAGAGTAGTCACCCAGAATGCATAAGTCTACATATTGAGATACTTATGGAAACTCACCCTGCGCAGCTACTGCAACTTGTTGAGGTACTGGCTGATTTCTTGCCAGCAATCTGTATGCCATTATTTGAGCTCTGCGAATGTAAATTGTAAGAATGTCAAGTTTTAAAAATACATAGAAAATTTACATAGAAAAGATATTTATTTATTATTTCAGTTATATTCATTTTAGTAAATCTGTTAAAACATCTTTATATACATATATTATTATTATAAACAATAAATCTTATTATAAATGTGCATGTAATATATAATTGTTATTACATTTACATACCGTAGTTGTTGTAACTGCGATGAATTAAAGGCTTGTTTTTCCATACCAGTGCCTTGACGAGCTCTCAAAGCTAACAATTGAGAGTATCGTGGATCTTCTTGCAATCCCTTTTCTTCCATAGAATCGATCGCTTTTTGAAGCGCGTTAAGGTTCTCTTGCCCTGGTCCAGGAGGTCCTGTAGGTCCACTAGGTCCGATTTGTCCACTCCCAGTTTGACTCATTTGATTTACCGGGGCACCTGATCCTATTGGCGCCGTGCTACCAAGAACTTGACCTTGATTCTGATTACCGGGACCTATTTGCGTAGTAGGAGGCTGATTGGTTGGACCATTAGGGCCCATTTGTCCACTCGCGTTCATATGACTGAGTTGACTATTTGGACCGCACGGTCCCATCTGATTATTCGGTCCGCCAGGCCCCATTTGATTGCTAGGGGTGTTCGGGCCCATTTGAGCCCCTGGACCTCCTTGCATCATTTGTCCTGGACCGCCAGATGGCATTTGTCCTCCCGGTCCCATTTGACCAGCAGGGCTATTCCCCGGCCCCATCTGTCCGCCAGGTCCACTTCCAGGACCCATTTGACCTCCGGGCACACTGCTGCCATGTCCAATTTGTCCACCACCTGGTCCCATTTGCCCGCCACCTGGTCCCATTTGTCCGCCGCCCGGTCCCATTTGTCCGCCGCCTGGTCCCATTTGTCCTCCTGGTCCACTTCCGGGTCCCATTTGACCGCCTGGTCCGCTACCGGCGTTCATTTGCGCACCGGGTCCGTTTCCTAATCCCATTTGTCCTCCAGAACCGCTTCCAGGGCCTGTCGCGCCCATCTGTCCCCCAGGACCGCTGCTCGAAGTCATTTGTCCACCAGGTCCACTGCCTACGTTGGTAGGTCCGTTAGGCCCGCTCGTTGGAACCATCGAGGAAACAGGTCCGCTACTCGTCATTGGCACGTTTCCTGGACTACTTCCCAGTCCCATCTGACCAAGACTATTCGGTCCCATTTGACCGACGGGACCGCCTCCCGGTCCCATTTGTCCACCCGGACCGGAAGGCACCATTTGATTGCCTGGTCCGCCTGGTCCCATCTGGTTTCCCGGTGCCGTGGGTCCCATTTGGCTACCTGGTCCGCCGGGTCCCATTTGTCCACCTGGTGCGTTCATACTCATCTGTCCGGGTGGGCCGCCCATACTCATCTGTGTAAGTCCGTTCGGACCCATCTGCGACGGTCCATTGTGACCCATCTGTCCAGGTCCGTTCGGGCCGATTTGTCCTGTCGATACGGGTCCCATGGGCCCGCTAGGTCCCATTTGAGCTTGGCTGATAGGAATCATCTGATTCGGACCACCTGGACCCATTTGATTCGGACCACCTGGGCCCATTTGATTCGGACCTCCCGGACCCATTTGATTCGGCCCACCTGGACCTAAATTGTGTCCCGAGGGACCACTCCCAGGCATCTGGCCAGGAGCATTCGGACCCATATGACTTCCCGGGCCGCTCGCATTCATATGCGCGGATACTGGCGGACCGCTCGTGTTCATGTGACCTGACATCGGAGGACCAGCGTTCATGTGACCTCCTGATCCAGGAGGTCCACCGGTGTTCATGTGACCCGGTCCGGAAGGGCCGCTCGCGTTCATGTGTCCCGATCCGGGCGGTCCGCTGGCATTCATGTGTCCCGACACCGGAGGTCCTCCGCCGCCCATGTGTCCTGGTCCAGGGGGACCACCGGCGGTCATGTGACCAGGTCCTGGTGGACCACTCGCGTTCATGTGCCCTGGGGGCCCACCCATATGCCCGGGACCGGGTCCCCCCGAGACCATTTGCGAGCCTTGGGGACTTCCGGTGCCCATCTGAGAGCCTGAAACGGGCCCGCCACCTGGACCCATCTGACCTGGTCCACTCTGTCCCATGTGAGGCCCGCTGGGAGGACCGCCTTGCACCATGTGTGAGGGGCCCATTTGCCCGGGACCTCCAGGACCCATCGGACCAGGACCTGCAGGCCCCATCTGACCAGGTCCACCAGGTCCCATCTGTCCGGGACCTCCGGGTCCCATTTGTCCGGGGCCTCCTGGTCCCATCTGTCCGGGCCCTCCAGGTCCCATTTGTCCAGGTCCATTAGAACCCATTTGGTTAGGGCCACCTTGCATCATGTGCGATCCACTTTGCGGTCCGTTCGGACCCATCTGACCGGGCACCATTGGTCCTCCGGGGCCTTGTTGGGAAGGTGGTCCCTGGCCGACTGGACCTTGATTCTGTAAAGAAAATTCATATAAGTCTTAAAAATAAAAAATACTTAAAAATCTGTTAAAATAAAAATCACTGTAAATTTCAGTTAATCAATCACGCCAAATTTTCTTTCACTATTATACATTGCAATATATAATAAGATTAAGTATGTGATACATATACAAAAGTATTGTTGAGAAAAAAATTAACGATAAAGATGGCGTAAAGTTAATGGTAACTAATTTTTGCAAATTAGTCTAACGCCTACGTAAACTTCCAAAAACGATAAGAGCCAGATGTTACACGTGTTTATCGCCTGTGTTTTGATGATAGCGATCAGAGGTAATCGGCAACAATCAGTGAGATAAAAGACACACCGAGGAGCACGTGGACAGAAATGCAAGAGAAAGGCATCGCGGAGGATTCCGATGCAAGTTCGCGCACTTAATTAAAGTGCTTTTTTTATTGCAATCATACATTGACATCCGGGACATCTAGATCTTGTTCACGTCGTCGTGCGAGGGATGTCACGTTCTTAAGGCATGTTCCAACGACTCTGGTTATCGTGAGAGACAATGACTAACAGCCGAGCAGTTAATACTTCCTTAACGCCTTAGTTTGCGCAACAAGCTTACGGTAATGTTAGAACACCTCGATAAAAATATCATAAGATCTTTTGTAAAATATTCTTATTTTTCGATTTTTTGAATTTTTCTTAACAGGGTGTCTACTCATTTTGTAAAAAAATTCCCTGAGAATTTCACTGATTTTTTAAAATTCCAAGTAAATTAAGAAATTGTGTAATGCAGATTTTTAATATATAAGTTTCTTTATTGAGTGCAGTTTTTCTAGGACTTAATATTAATTTATTACTTATATAAAATCTTGATACTAAAAATAGATTGTCAATAAACAAAATTTCATGAAATTTTAATAAAAACTTAAATATTACAAGATATGTGTATGTTTTTTAAATGCCAAATAAAATTTAAATTAACAAAAGGATAATTTTTAAAAAAATTCCCTGAATGCCAATTAAATTCCATAAGAATTCCCCGATTTTTCAAGATAGAAAAAATTTCCTGAGAAATCCAGATTTGCAAGGTTTTTTTCTGTGAATATACACCCTGTTAAAGATTTCTTTATCAATGTTATAATCTTCTAAAACACACATTTATATTATTTTTTAGTTAGATGTATAAAGATTTAATTAAACAATCATCAAAAAACAAAGTGTTCCTAATTTAATGAAAAATATCGTCTTTAATTTTGAGATGACGATTATTCCTTTCTTTTTCGGCAGGATTATTTAATTAAATATTATTCAACATTTATCTCTCCGTATAATTTAATCAAATTAATTTAATAATAATTAAATTTTCTTATATTTATCCATTTATCCACAATTTAATCAAAATGTACTTGATTTGGAAATCTTCCTCGCTGCATTATATCTATATAAATATGATGTAAGAGATTAAAAAAAAAAAATATATATATACATATATTGTCTCTCGGATCGAATAATTCTTACAATATGGTGAGTTTGACGTTTAAGTGCAATTTAGCGTAAAGAAGTTTAAAAAAAGAGATATCGATCGACGTAATGGAATAATTTCAAAATATTATGTGTGCGCTTATATAATTGAAAAAATCCAAAGCATGAAATTCGTATAAAAATAATCTTAAAAAAGCTCAAATAAATGATTATGTCACTATAGGGTGAATTTTTCCATGACAAGGATGACGATGAAAAGACTTTGCCTCTTGCCAATATGACATATTGCATAGAGCATGGAAAAGAACCTGAGAGAGTATCCAATATTCCTATTAAGTCGAGTGGATGCAAACTCCTAGTGGAGGGGTGACAGATCATAAGAACGAAGCTCCCGCGATCCGGACGGTATTTTAACTGGAGCAACGCGTTTCGCGGGACGTCATTCGTTAAATTTGTTGAAAGAAGCGGGATATCTCAGTTTCAGAAGGACTCGCGAAGATGACAACCCGAGAGGAACTCGACTTCTGCTACGACTTCGTCTTGGATCTCACTATAGAATCTGGAAAAGTATGTGACACATTATATTGTTATATAATTTAATGCAGAATACTGATCGTTCCGGCTATATCTGTCAATAATTATTTATGTGTTGCACAAAAAATTCTTGTTCATGTCAGCGAAAGAATAACGACGATCTTATTATTAATTATTTATTAATTTTATATATGTTAATTTATAAAAATTATACTGAAACTTTAAGAATTAAAACGCTGTCAACATATATTTGACAGAATTGGGTAAAAAACAGTAGATGATACTAAAATATATCATTAAATATTAATATTATATTAAATATATATAATTATGATTAATTAGTAAAAATTTATACCTTTACTATAACTTGAATTATAGTAATTGAAAAAAATTATAAATCACGAAACGCGAGAAAATGCATTATATTGCAAGTTATATGAATGCAACGAAAATTACCAGATATCATCTTTCTCAGATCAGTCATCGATCAAATTATGATTTATGAATTATCACACATAACGTTAACTTTTAGGTGATTCGTGATGCTTTTCAAGGATCTAAAAAAATTGAAACTAAAGCTGGTGATTGGGATTTAGTGACACAATTCGACAGAAAAGTCGAAGCAATTCTCATCGACAATCTGGCAAAAAGATTTCCAACGCATAAGTAAATTATCATTTTTCTTTAAATTATAAAGGATTAGATTAAATTAATTTGCATTACTTGTATAGTACATATAAATAATAATAGGTTGTTATTTTAGAAGAGTATCTGTTTTTTAAATATTAATGTTATACATAATATTATTTTTATATATAACATTATATTCATATTATTCGTTATTATTATATAAATCATTATATATTATATTATGTAATAAAAATATATTTAATTATATATAATTTATAATTTAAATAAATAAAAATTTATAATATTTATTTATACAACATGCAATTTGTATAGATCCGAAAAATTTTTTGTCAGATTCATCGGCGAGGAAACAGTGTCGCATTCGAATTTCCTACCGGAACTTACAAACGCGCCTACATGGATCATCGATCCGATCGATGGAACAACAAACTTTGTACATTCTTTCCCGCACACCTGCATATCGATCGCATTGGCTGTGAATAAGGAACTCGAAATTGGAATAGTTTACAATCCCGTTTTGGAGCAATTGTTCACCGCCAGAAGAGGCCACGGGGCATTTCTGAACGCAAAACCGATCAAGAGTTCGAACGTGGAAGGTAAAGATTTTATTCTCTCGATTATTTTCACTTTTTTTTAATAATGTGTAAAATCTTTTTCTTTTATGTAAGATAATTCGATGCACATTTTTAACGCAATTTTATTTACGATAAATTACGATACTTCGATATCTCCACACGGAATTTTTTGTTATATTTCACCACAAAATTCATTACAAAAATATTATCAGGTTTGATAATAAGCCGAAAATTATCATGAACAATTAAGCAGAATTGAAAATTTTAGTAAAATTAATGAAATATATTTTATATCTTATTGTGTGTAAATATTAATATTTTTTACTGTGCCAAATATTAATCACACAGACAAACTCTTAATAAAATTCTTCCAATACCATATTGTCCCACGATTACTATAAACTTGAAGATAAATTCTAACAATAAGAAAAAATTCTCTCTGTGTAACATGTCAAAGAAAAAATCGTTTCTGCAACTTTTTAGATTTTTGATATATTTTTATTATAATTCAAATTAAGATTGTGTTGTAGCCAACTTCTCTGAAATTAACAAATAATATTCTTTAATTAATTTTGCAAGCCGAAAATACACTATTTTGTAATTAATGAAGAATATTTTTTGTTCTTCATTAATTTAGTGTATTTTCAGCCGTTCCTGCGAAATACAATAAATTAATTGAAGAATATTATTTGTTATAAGTGAACAGTTTAATTCTTTATTTGACTCTTTGAAATTTAATTCTTTCTCTTACAATAACATAACGATAAAAATTATTAGTATTTTCATTAAGGATAAATCCTTAATGAGATAAATATATAAACATTAATCAAAGAAACTTTTATCAGATTATTTTTCTTCCAATATTGCCCCATGATTACCAAGAATTTCAGGATAAATTCTAAGAGAAAATTCTTTCTGTCCAGGACTCGAGCACTCCTTGCTATGCTTGGAGGCCTCGTACGCGACCATCGAGGAAATTCGCGACATTATCCTAGGAAGACTGGAAGCCTTCGTCTCGATAGCGCACGGAATAAGAACTATGGGTTCTGCGGCCTTAACACTCTGTCACGTGGCTATGGGAGCAGTTGAGGGGTATCACTCTGACAATCTGATGCCCTGGGACGTAGCCGCGGGTGTTCTTATCATCAGGGAGGCTGGTGGTGTAGTGATCGATACAAATGGTATAGCATAGATGCAGACGTGTGTGCAGATTATTAGATTCAAATATTTTTATGTTGACAAATTACTTCACAGTTATATTTTGTTATATATGAAATATTGAAGATTTTTTTATAATTTTTTGATTTGCACATTATTCTTTTTTAATGACAAAAACTGTAGAAATATGAATAATGCACGCTATGAGGACAATAATTTATTTTTAATTTTAATTAAAATTTAATCGTAAAAATTTTAAGGTTTGGAGAAAAATGATCTATTTATTATTAAAATATAATTTTACAGAAAAATGTTTGAGTTTTATAACCCGAACAGACATCTGTAAATAGATCATTTTTCTTCTCCAAATTTTAACATTTTTACGATAAAATTCAATTAACATTAAAGGTAGTGTACATTATTTAGATTTGTATAAGTTTCATTAAAAAAAGATTCCGAATAATTCGCAAATCTAAAGAAAATTATGAAGAAATCTTCAATCTTTTATAAAAAAAAATAAAAATAAAATAAAAAATGATAAAAAGATACAAAAATAAAACTTAAATAAGTATGTGTCTATTAAAAAACGCAAAAATATAACTGAAGTAATCTAAACTTAAAAATATATTTAAGTCTAATAATAGTCATAAGTCTGTACACATCTTTCTCATTATCTCTCCGATATAAAATCAAAATATAATAAAAGTCAAATCAAAATGTAGGTGGAGAATTCAACGTTATGTCACCGAAACTCTTGGCTGTTGGTAATTATAGACTAGCGAGAGAACTCGTAAAGTTGATCAAACACGCGGATCTCAAAACCCGTCAAAGAAGTCTGCTGTTGCAAACACTTAAATAATAATAATAATAAAGTTGTACATTTAAATAATGATTTTATATTCAATATTGTTTAAAAATAGTTATACTCTTGGATATGTATTTGTTGTATAAAATGTATTATCGACAACGGTGTGTATTAATATAATTAATTAATGTAGTCATAAAATATTAATTAATTAATTAATTATACTATTAATTAAGGTAGTAATAAAAATACTAATGATATAATATTTATCATATAAAATATATATTGCAACGAATCGTGTTTGTATGTGTATTAATATTATTAATTAAAATGATAATAAATTATGTAAGTAATAATGAGTAATATCGATAACAAATAATTTAGATAAAAAAAGAACACCGAGAAGTTGCATATCTCTTGTCTTCTTATCGCAATTCTTATCGAACAAACTTCAAGGGCTTTTTAAAAGAGAGAGAGAAAAAAAGAGAGAATGCGTTTTATGAACTTAAAAAGTGTATATGATAATTCGCTCGAGAGACGTTTATTAGTTCTCCCGAACGTTTAGATTCGTTTATCTGCGCTGTTTGTAATCATATAACATGAATTACAGATATAGATAAAATGTATAGCATTAGGCAGGCATTTTATATTGCAAATCGGTCAGTCGTACCGATGAATCTGTCAACATCAGTCATGTCGAGCGACCTGGACCTTGCGAAGTGCTGCGAGTTCGCAAAGGAACTCACGTTGCGAGCTGGTAAGGTGAGTCACGACGAATCGATGAGGATTTTCCAAAATTAAAACCTTGAGTGATATAATACTTGCATGTATAGGAAAGTGTCTTATCAATGAAGTTTGACTAGTATCCTTGGAAATAAATATCCTTATTTAATACGCTTCATATAAATCTTCGACAGACTTAAAAATAAAAATTATCGCAAAAATTTGTTAAAATATTAATTGTCTCCCTGATTATTTCTTTATATTTCCTGGTTTGATATATTAATATTACTTGTGCAGATAATCAAACATGCTTTCAAGGGGGAAAAGATTGTATATAAGAAAGAAGCAGCATGGGACTTCGTAACCGATATTGATCAAAAAGTTGAGAAAATGTTCATTGATGGTCTGTCCAAGGAGTTTCCCGATCATAAGTAAGCTGTTATAATATATCATACGTCATTGAATAAATAATCAGCTTCAATAAATAAATTCTTCGCGCTTCAGGATTATCGCAGAGGAAACAATAGCCGCGTTAAAGGAGTTGCCGAAATTGACAGATGAGCCGACCTGGTTCCTCGATCCGATTGACGGAACCATCAACTTCATACACACGTTTCCACAGTGCTGTATATCCGTAGGTCTAACGGTTTGCAAAAAACCTGTTCTAGGCATCATCTATAATCCCATGACCTCGGAGCTGTATACCGCGATAAGTGGCCAAGGCGCGTTTTTGAACGGAAAACGGATTTACACCTCCAAAATCACCGGTAATGACTAATAGTATAAACGGAAGTGATGCTTGCTTATTTAGGAGTTGGATGCCGGAAAGCGACTAAATATATTTTTAGACAAATGCCTAAAAATGAAATATGCAACATATAAATATTTAACAGAAATGTTTATATAACATATTTAACATTTAAATCTAATCTTTCAAATTCTTTGCTGTAAAATTGCTTTGAAACTAATTCTTCGGTTCAAATGTTTTTTTTAAATTTGTTCAGAAAGAAATTATCAATCATTTAATTTAATTTAGGAAATTGTAATTTTACTTAAAGTTACGAACAAAAATGTTATCAAAAATCTTGATTTTATTTCAAATTAAAATTCATGAAGTTTATTCAGCAAAAAGTATCGATCAAAAAATAGTTAAGTGAATAAGAAAAAGTGACAATAGAGATTATTCGAATTCATTGAAAAAAGGGGAAAAATTTGGAAAAATTGCTCCCTTCTCAACGCATTTGCAAAGAATATCAATGCTGCAATTTTCACAGTAATCACGAGAAACGATATGAATTCGATCTCGCTACATCATTATTTTTACTCTGTCATTACCACTTCGTAATGGAACTTTTTGCACAATTTTTTCGTATAGCATATTTTAATTACATATTCTTGGATTATTACATAAAAAACTAGCCTCTTAAATGTAGACTTTAATTAGACGATAACTATAGACAAATTATAGATCTTTTAATTGCACATGTTAATCATACCGATGATTCATTCGAGGGGAAGAACCGTAATATAATTTCGCAGCGGACTAATAGGAAAATTTGAAATGCCCACAAAAGTAAACCAAATCATTTTCATCGTCTCCAATTTTTTACAGAATTAAAGAAAGCAATGCTAGAAATCGAGCCGACAGTTATGATAATATTACTAGGAAAGGACAGATTTCTCACCAGAATAGAAACCTTAGTCGGGACCGCGAAAGCGTAAATAAAAAATTATATATACTATTATGATATATATTCTATATATATATATTTTATATAAAACAAATATATATATATATTTTATTTATAACATATTTTGTTGTAGTAAAATATATATATATAATAAAAATATATTAAATACAATATAAATTAAGGTATCTGGAACCTCGCTGCTATGTTGAATTATGACGTCAGAGGCGAGAGAGCACACGTTGAAAATATTCTAATGCCATTTTTAAGTGAAAAGATATTTCGATCAGATGGCTTTAGCACACTTTTAAAATACCTCGAAAACAATTCTTTTCCCAACAACCGTAAAATGATCGTGATATCAACTTGTTATGCGGAATGACTGCCTCATATTACAGTCATTTTATAGCTGTTGATTATAAAGGAAAAAGGATAAGCTAAAGCCATCTGAAGTGCTGTTTCATCGAAACATCTTTTTATTTCGAAATAACGGCATCTAAGAATTTTTAGCGTGTGTTTTCTCGTTTCTGACGTCACAATTTCAACATGGCTGAGCCAGGAGCTAGGAGCTTTAATATAAATTTAAAAAATATATATATAATTTTCCTATTAAATTCAGAATAAGAAGCGTAGGATCAGCTGCACTAGGCTTGGCATATGTAGCCCGGGGTGCGCTGGATTGTTATCATATGGATGGTCTTCAGGCTTGGGATGTCGTGGCAGGAATAGTTCTTGTTCACGAAGCAGGTGGAACTGTTATGGAGTCAACAGGTAAAAAAATCCGGAAAATTCAGATAAATCCGAGTATTATACCGTATAACACACATTTCCACCGAGTAGCAAACTAAAGTCATTAAATATTAAGATGAATGACGTCATTTGACGTCTAATGACGTACGTTTACTACCTGAATTGTTTCTACGATATATATAAATAAATCGCGAATCCTTCGCGAAATCTCTTTCGAAATTTCATACAAGTTTCACTCGAAATATAATCTTAATCATCGACATCATCATAAATGACTTAAGTCGCATAAAAATGGATGTTTGTGTTAAAACAAACTCATTTCAAATAACAAGAAAATAATTATTATTATTTTTACTGCAACTAGAAATACATTATTTAAGAGGAAAAGAAGAATTAATGCGGCGTGCAAATTAGTTGCAGAATTAATTATCATTATAATTATTTTCGCAGGTGGCGTCTATGACATTATGAAGCCGAATACCATCGCGGCTTCGAATGAAACCTTGGCACGTGAGCTGTCCAAATTAATCGTCGAAACTGACTTGAAGGTGCAAAGGAAACTAGCTTGAGAGCAAAACAAAAAAGGCACGAATCACGTTAAATGACTGATTGTGACTGAGAATGACTGAATATGAAGCAAAAGGAGGCGTGTCCTCTTGAAAGAGGAAACCGTGTCTGTATCACGTAACTCACGAGAAAATTATACTTATAAAAAACCAGTCTAAAGAAGTTTCCGTTGAAAAGTCCTACTCTGACACACTCGTGGTATTAATTCGATTGCATTAATGTAAAGATGTGCTGCGCAATAAATTATCATTGATTTTTCCTAGTTCTCCTCACGATCGAGAGATTTTCTTTCTCTCGTCACTGTTATAAATATATCTCTTATAACGGTGATATTTATCTCTCAAAATTTATCTCTCAAAATTTATCTCTCAAAATTCTCTCAAAAATATATCATCCCCCCAAATATATTTCGCATTAAAACTCTACTTTTTTGCTCTCGATATAATTTTCTATGAATGTTGAAATTTAAAATTAAAATTTACACCACTAAAAAAGTCTAAAAAAATTATGTAATTTATTGCGTTTAACGAACGTATTGTAATATTAAAATATATAAATATCATTGTTCGCAAATTATATACAAATAAAGTGCGATATCAAATTAAAGAGATTATATCTTTAATCATTACACAGTTATGAAATAAACATATAAATAACATTATTTGCATAAAGACTAAACTAGATTATTACATAAATAATGTAGGCAACAATCTTGAATAGTTATATGCATTATAAAACTATTATTAAAAAGAAAAAAAATAAATGCGTGTACAGTTATCTGTGTACTATTATAAGGGTATATCAATGTTAAATAAAACAACTAAAATAATTAGCTTAAGGCTTTTGCATCTCATGGTTTGTTCTGTAAAATATTGATAGTAACATATAAGCTTATAATTAACGAGAAATGATTCTTGTCAACAATCTTATTATTACGCATGATAAATATGCATGACTGTTTGTCACATGTTATAAATTGTTTCATCAATTCTTCCTTATTGCACATATGGATTTAATTGCATTTTTAATTCGTACTTGTATGATTAATCTTTTAAGATCATCTGTTATTTAATTCTTGATTGCTCTCTTCGCATCTTCTTATAAATCGCGATACATCACAACAAAAAAATCATTATCTATGCATAAAACTTATGACGCATGTCAAGAAAATGAGTTTGTTTGTTGAAAAAAAGAGAGCAATATATTGGTGCGAAAGATTCTTCCTCACAAGCTTATTTGAAATATACTATGCAAATTTGAGATTATAGATAAGAAATAAAATATCTTAAAAGATACTGATTACAGAATGAAAAATATTTCAGATAGCAAAAGTTATTAAAATAGATAGAGAAATATAGACAATCACACGTTGATTGCCAGAGAATATTAAGTATTTGCGCAACTAACATTTAAGTTGGGAGGGATAATTTAATCAATAGCGAACATAGAAACATTGTAATCAAAAACCACGAAAGATACCACTGAAAGATAAAAATTATGAGGTAATGAGTTCTGATAATATCACTAAAAACATTAATCAACGCTGCATGTGTTAGAAACGCATAAAAAAAATTAAAATAATTGCAGATTGAATCGATTCTCCTCTCAATGTTTTTTTCTGAAAATATAAATAAAAACAGTTTTAATTCTATAAAATAACAAAACGAGACACTAATTGGACAAGTATGTACGTAAGCGTACAAGCAAATAATGGCGAATATAGCCTGTAGAATAAGTAAGTTTGAGCGAATCTTTATTATTAGGAATACTTTAAAAATTAAATCATAAAATTCAGCAAACGCGTGAAAATGTTTCACGCAAAAAATTGCAGAAATTATGCAATTATTATTAAAATCGAGACGTTCCTCATTCATATCTGTATTTGTATTTTGTATTGAAAATTTAATACTGATCAGGTAAATAGCAAACGAGCAAAACAAATTAATAGTTTAAAATTAAAACAATTTTTTTCGAAGATTTAGAAGAGCTCCTAGATCCTTACGCGGCAATGTTAGATTATGACGTCAGAGGCGAGAAAGCACGCTGAAAATTCTTAGATGCCATTTTTAAATGAAAAGCTATTTCGATGAAACGCTATTTCAGATGGCTTTAGTATACTTAAAATACCTCGAAAACTATTCTTTTTTCTGACAATCAATCAACAATTATAAAATGATCGCAATCAGATTTTGTTATGCAGAAAGATTGCATGCGCAAAGACCAGACTGGAGCCTCAATTAGTTATTTTTCTGTTGATTGATTATAAAGGTAAAACGATAGGTTTCAAGGTATTTAAGAGTGCGCTAAAGTTATTTGAAGTGTTATTTCATCGAAACATTTTATTTCGAAATAGCAATTAAGAATTTTTAGCGTATGTTTTCTCGCCGTTGACAATCTGACATGGCCACGATGAGGATCCAGGAGCCTTAATAGTGCTCTAAATCTGCGGAAAAATTATTATAATTAATTTTAATTAACTGGTGTGTATGCAGACACATGATCGAAATATCTTTTTATTTCAAAATGATATCTAAGAATGTTTAGGGTGTGTTCTCTCGCCGCTGACGTCACAATTCCAATACGGCGAGGAACGCAGATCCTCAAAATTAATTACCTAGATTTTCCGAACACCATGAGACAATAAGTTAGCATCTCATTTTTGTAAAACAGTCGCGTAGCAGAGAGAGATGTATCATGATGGTGAGTATAATTAAGAATATAAGAATCAAGGTCTATCTCGGAGAGAGAGAACGGTATTACATTGTTATCTTGCAAAGTAGAGACGAGACAAGAAAAATAATCATAGATTCTCCTCACACGCGACACGTCGGTGCAATATTTCATTTTACTCGAATCGCGCATAAAAGGTAGAAAATTAATCACTAAGCACAATTACGTGAAATCAAGGGTATCTGCTAAGGTAAATTAGTAGAGCCTCCGCTTTGTCGTTCGCTATCTCTCGCGCATTGATAAGCGGAGTTTGTCAATTAGGAAACAATTATTTCAATAAACGCACTCTTATGGAACGTGAAAAATCGTTCGGAGGGGCGAAAAAAAAACTCCTCGATGATTAAGCGCCGATTCGAGGACGACGATCCTACCTACTACTGCCTGCCTCCTACATCGATCGATCCCGAATGAAAAGCACGAGATACCGGTGCGGACGACGCAGTGCTGGCTCGCACCTTTTCTCGACAAGGTCGACGCGGTGCTCGTTCGTTCACCAGGTCGCAATTTCCAGGAAGAAATGGCGCGATACGCCGAGGACGTCTACTACGAGACCGCCATCAAGTTGGCGCGCGAGGCTGCCCAGGTAAGGATCTCATCTCGTCGGAAGAAATCTGACTAGCTAAAAACGCCACGTTGAGATTAACACGTTGAGAAATTATGACAATATGGGATAAACATTGCTTGACACGCGCCATTCCGTGATTATACATGTATATTGCATTGGAAGATAACGTGAGCAGAAAGTTAATGCGAGTCGTGATGCAAAACTCCTCGAAACTAGATGACTTTTAGAATCTAGAGGATATGTCAGGCGATGCCAGAATGTTTTGCGTTGCTGTAAAGGCGTACGTCTATTATCTTTCCTCGTCGACATATTAATAACTTTTTTTTGAAATTAATTAGTAATCATTTTCTGTCACATGTCACTCATATGTAAAATGAGATTTATAAATAGAATAATGTATGCAATTATATCATAGGTAATCTTGATATTTTTTGAAACTGTACATGCTATATAAAGCACGTAGAGATATATATAATCTGTCACCTTTAATAAATTTTTTTTAAATTAATAATAATTTCCCATTATATACCACTTATATGTAATGAGATTTATAGATAGAATAATGCATGCGTGCAATTATAGATAATGATATTTTTTAAAACTACATATGCAATAAAAAGCGTACATCTTTAATCTTTCATCATTCACATTAATAAAATTTCTTAAAAATGGTTTAATAATAACTTTCCAACACAAGTGACTCATATGTAATGAGATTCAGATAGAATATAAATGCATGCAATTATATTATAGATAATCTTGATACTTTTTAGAGATTGCATATGCTATAAAAAATATACATCTACAATCTTTCATTATTCACATTTTAACAGAATTTCTTAAGAATTATTTAATAATAATTTCCCAACACGTGTAACTCATATGTAATGAGATTTAGATGGAATGCAATTATATTATAGATAGTTTTGATATTTTTCGAGATTGCATATCCTATAAAAGGTGTATATATATACATACATACATATATATATATATATATATATATATACACCTATATAAAATCTGTCATCATATCTACAATAATAAAATTTCTCTGGAATTAATTAGTAATAATTTCCTATCACGTGTGACTCATACGTAATTTAGATAAAGAATAATATGCATGTAATTATATTATAAATAATTTTGACATTTCTTGACTGCATATTGCAATTTCAATCGACGTGTAACTGCAGAATGGAATTTGTTAAAATCTCTATATCATAAAATTGAGAAGAACGTCAAGCGAATAAAACAAGTGTTACTCTCATCATTTCGAATCGAGAAAATTATTAAGAAAGAAAGAGAGCAAGTGATTCGCGATAAATTCGAGGAGCATATAATATCCTGATGATAATAATTTTATTGCTGCAAATGACAGAATTTTTCCACACTCGAAACAAGGAAAACCAGAATTCATCCTCCGTCCTCCATCATCTCCTTCATTTACATACAACCTGTTTCATTATCTTGCAACGCGTCAATCCTTAATAATTACGAAATGCCAAGATTCTCCGGGGCTCCATTAACGGCCTCAAGCAAGTCGACCAGAAGCTAGGCGATTGGGACCTTGTGACCGAATACGATCGCAAGATAGAGGACATCATCATCGGCAAACTGAAACGCGCCTTCCCGGACCACAAGTACGATCTTCCAAAATGATCATTCGAGTATAAAAAGAGAATAAAAAGCTCCTGGATCTTCGCCGCGACCATGTTGGATCGTGACGTCAGAGGCGAGAAAGCACACGCTGAGAAAATTCTTAGGTGTCATTATTTTGAGATAAAAAGATATTTCGAAATGGCACCTAAAAATTTGTAGCGCGCGCTTTCTCGTCTCTGACGTCACAATTCCAACTTGGTCAACGAGGAGCCAGGAGCCTTAATAAGTGACGTTTGATCAGATTCATCGCGGAGGAGTCGACCGGGAAAGAGCTACCGGAACTGACCGACGTTCCTACGTGGATCATAGACCCTATAGATGGTACCACGAACTTTATCCACGGGTTTCCGCACACATGCGTGGTCATCGGGCTGGCCGTGAAGAAGGAGATGGTTCTCGGCATCGTGTACAATCCTATTCTGGAGCAGCTGTTCACGGCGAGGAAGGGACGAGGCGCCTTCCTAAACGACCATCCGATTCACGTATCCAAAGTTCAAGGTAAAGCAACAAAGGTATTCTTCAATTTCCCAAGAAGCGCAAATTGGCGACTGGAAGCGAAGACAAAAATGTAGACAAGATGAATGTACACGATTATGATATCCTCCTTCGCAATGAACAAAAGATTCCGCGATTTATGTCTGAGAAATTCATCGTCTTGTAAAACAAAGAGACAATTTAACGGAATTAAATTAACATCGCGTGTGAAAGTGGGACAATCAACGTCCTTCAACATAGCTGAAAAAAGGATACGTCTCTTTCTATCCTTCGAGCTTGTACACGATAACAGATATCGGTAGATCAATACAATCGCTAATGACTTTGTGTCGCAATATGCCAAGTATGCGGTAGCAATGATTCAGAGAATATGCGACTTGTAGCTTGAAAAATTCTGTGTCACAAGGATAAAGTCAGAAAGCGCAGATGAATATATGATATTGTTTAAATTTCATGATATTGATGCCGGTAATAAAGCCTTTTACAGGGTGTCTACTCAAATTTTGTAAAAACAATTCCCTGATAAAAATATGAAATAAAAAATAATTTATTATAAATATCTCAAAAAATACTAATTTATGTAAATTAATTATTTATTAAATTATTATTTATTTATTTATTAAATAAACACAAGGAGTACTAATTTATTTAAATATTTTATTAAAAAATTGAACAATTTTCTACGAAATTTATAAATTTATATAAGATTTCGATACTAAAAACAAATTGTCAATAAAAAAAATCACATAAAATTTTAATAAAAACTTAAATATTGCCAAAGTATGTTAGACATACATACTTCTTAAACAAAGCTAAATACAAATAAAATTAATAAAAGAACAATTTTTAAAAAATTTCTTGAATTCCAATCAAATTCCCTGATTTCTCAAGGTTGAATAAAATCTCTGATACTAAATTTTTAAGATTTTCTCCAGAAGTATACACCCTGTTTTATCAATGACAGAAGGATTTTAATGCTGTTTTTTCGCAGACTTGTCGAAAGCTCTGGTCTGCATGGAATCCGGTTTCATTAAGATAGACGCTCTACGGGAGAAGATGGTAGAGAGAATCCAAGACGTCATTAAAGCGGCTCAGGGGTAGGTTTCGGTGGTCTTAAAAAAAAGACATCCTGTCACACGTATCTGATAATTCGTTTCATCTCGAAGCATTCGTACTCTCGGCGTGGCGGCGTTAACGTTGTGTTACATCGCGTTGGGGATCGTCGAGGCTTATTACATCGAAGGCCCCGGCATTTCGACGTGGGATATAGCTGCGGCTTCGCTCATCATTTCGGAAGCGGGAGGCGTCGTCTTGGATCGCGTAACAGGTAGATATATAAAATTATCATCTTTCATATTTTTGTAAAACTGAAAGACACTTTTTACAAATTGTTTTTGATGAAAATAATCAAGTTGACTGACACAAAAATATATAATATAAATAATATATAAAACAGATAATAGATAAATTTAATAAATTTGTAAATATTACATTTACTAATCTCAAAAAATTCTCATTTCTAGTTAAAAAAATTAATATAAAAGAATCCTCCTCCAAAATGATCAATATTAAATTGATTCAAGTAAAATTTATAGATCTTTAATTTGACTTGAAATTTTAACAAAAAATATTAAAAATAAAGAATCTATATATTAAAAGTATAATATAAAGTTATTCGTACAACTGAGAATCAACGCAACCCATAATTATTGTCTGCTTCGCTTTTTGTTATGCTTCAGTGACTACAGTTCCTTTATTTTTTTCTTATTTCAGGAGAACCAATTGACATCATGAAGCCACGAGCGGTAGCCGCGTGTAATGATAAAATCGCCCGTGACGTTGTCAGAATTATCTATGAAGCCGATCAACGGGTGGATATGAGGGCGAAATAATAATGTAAATAGTTTCCAAATATATGTTATAAATAAAAAGAAAATTCAAGAAAAAATTTACCCTCCCGAAAAATATGCTCTTATAATATGCATTTTTCGTCAAAAAATTCTTGATATCCTTCTAATATATGTTTTAGTTTGGTTTTTAATATTATTCAGTAAAGGAAAAAATATTAAATAAACTAAAAAATATGTTAGAGAGATAAAAAGAATTTTTTTACGAAAAATGCATATCATCGAAACATCTCGACTAATTGCTAATTAATGTTGTTTGATACATAGCTTATTGTGTCAGAATCAAGTTTGCGTCTTGCAGAAATCGTTCTGATAAGATCGTTCGTATAATGTAAATTTGCGCAACAAGTGAGATTAAAATTATGATTGATTTACCTCAATTCCATTTTTTTTGTGTAAACAATTACAAATCTACTATCTGAACTCTCAAGCTGTGATGATCAATTAAAAAAGAAATTGGTATAATTTCCAACACGCAAGCATATGGAATATTTTGTAAATTCCTATTATATATTATTATATATAATTATATATGTAATTATTATATATAAAGATACATGGTCAGAAATTTAATTTAATTTTACAATTATTTTCCTTCCTCCTTCTTCCTGACCCTGTTCCTTCTCAAAAAAAAAAACGACGGCAAATCGTGTCCAAATAATTACTGAATGTAAAAATATCCCCGTAGGGAAATTCCAATGCCTCGGAGCTGTGTCATCTAATAATAGAATGCACAGGAAAGTGTAAAAACCGCGATGTTTACGAAATATCATACGTGTATAAACCTGAAATTCCGGGGACTCGCTTCCACGGTTGTGCGTAATTGACTTAATGACGATCCAGACTTTTTGACGTCATACCGGTCTGTGGTCGGGACTTTCGCTATCATCGACTGAGATAAATTTCGGTCGTTCCTACATTCGACGCTCATTCGTGCATCCGATCCGTTGACAGTCGGAAGTCTCTTTCTTTTTCTCAAGGACGTTCTTCGATAAGTCTATCAGTGTAATTATCTGATATAAGTGTTCAAGAAAACTTATTTTGAGCTGACCAGTCTGTTCACCGACGAGAAAGAGGAATCGTGCGAGAGAGACATGTACGAGGTAAACGACTTGGACGAGTGTTACAGGATCGCCGAGGAATTGGTCCTGTATGCAGGAAAGGTGCGTTATTAAACAAAGAAAAATACAAACAGCGAGAATAGTTACAAGAACGTTGCGTGATAGCGAGATTACTTGAAAAAGATAGAGTCACGAGTGCGATATGATAATAATTTTAATCAGAGTTCTAATTATAATATATATCTAGTGAATTAGTGAATTTTATTTTAAACGCAGATTTTCAAACAGTTTTTTATATGTGCTGTCAAATTGCGTTTAAGATGTTTAAAAAAAAATTTGTTTGAAAATCATTATAACATCATCAATCTTTAAGCATTATAATTCACGGAATTAATTTATATCAGTTATATTTAATAAAAATTTATTATATTTATAATCAGAAATATTTCCACCAAACAAAATAATATAGTATGACAATTTTTTTTAATAATCAATTTGGAGTTTATTTCTTCTTAATAAGAATATTATTAATAATTTTTATCGTTACGTTATCGTAAGAGAAAAAATTAAATTTCAGAGAATCAAATAAAGAATTGAACTGTTAATATATCTAGAAAAAAAAATTATTCTTACAGCTTTTTAGACTTTTATATATGTTCATTATAATTCAAATTAAGATTTTGTTGTAGCAAACTTGTCTGAAATTAACAAATAATTTTCTTCAATTAATTTACCGTAGAATAAAACAATTTTTCATTAATTTTAGTGTATTTGTGGTCATTCATGCGAAATTAATTAAAAATTGTTATTTGTTAATTTCAGAGAAGTTTACTGTACAAGAAAATCTTAATTTGAATTAAAATAAAAAAATATATCATATTATATAAAAATCTAAAAAGTTGCAGAAGCTATTTTTTCTTTAACATATTATCCAGAGAGAATTTTCTGTTAGAATTTATCTTGAAAATCATGATAATCATCATGGAACAATATAGTATTGAAAGAATTTTATACGAGTTTCTCTTATTAATATTTATCACAATAAGATATAAAAAATGTTTGATTAATTTTACTAAACTATATGGTAAAATTTCAATAATTTTAAAATATATTAAAAACTAGATTAAAAACGATTCCTAAGTGCTTTAAATATAATAGATGCCAAAAAAGTGATAAACACAAAAAATGTTTATATAAATTTTAAAATGTAATTTTTGGCTTATTACCAAACATGATAAAATTTGTAATAAATTTTGCGGTAAAATATAACGAAAAATTCTCTCTGTATAACTAATTGTAAGTAAACAGTTCAAATTTTAATCAAAGAATTTATCATTAAAAAAGAGCTCTCTACAAAGTTCTCAAAGAACTCTTTACATACATACTTAATATTTTTTTTCCTTTACCGAATAATATTAAAAATCAAACTAAGAAATACATTAGAAAAATATCAGATCATCTCGCTCTTTGCAGATAATAGAAGATGGCATCGATACCAGGAAGAACGTCAAAAGTAAGGGGATTGACTGGGATCTTGTCACAGAATATGATCGCAAGATAGAGGACAAATTGATAAAACAATTATCCGCACGATTTCCATCGCACAAGTAAGTCATCGGCCAGACGGACTTAATGGACCATTTAATGAGGTGCCTGTAACGCGAGTCAATCTTTCAGATTTATTGCTGAAGAAACGGCAGCGAAGGAAGGTCGCTTACCGCAGCTGACCGATGACCCTACGTGGGTTATTGACCCGATAGACGGTACCACAAATTTCGTCCATCGTTTCCCGCACACATGCATCTCCATTGCGCTGCTGGTGAACAAGAAGGCTGAAATTGGGATAATATACAATCCCATCATGAGACAATTCTTCTCCGCGAGAAGACACTGCGGAGCCTTTCTCAACGGAAAGCCTATAAAAACATCGGATGTGAGAGGTAAATCGCTGAATGCACTTAAGGTTTTTTGTGTCAGAAGCGCGCGCACATAACATGTTTTTTTTATATATAATTTATCTAACAGACACGTGTATATGATAATTATTTTTGTGTGTTGCTATTACGTTGTATTCATTAAGGATGACTCAAAGAAACATAAAAATGCACAATTTTACGGTCCAGTGGAAGGTTACCTAATATCCATTGGATATCGCAGATTATGATACGTGTACGTCGGTTTAATGTCGTGTCCTTCAGTCAAAGTAATACTTTTCAAATGCCAGATATATTACGATGTTCTGCTCGTCGAAATAATTTCTTTATCTTACCGTATAAAAGATATTTTAAACATAAAATATAATATTATACAAAGTATCTATTTTTTCCAGATGTATCTCAATCATTAGTGGCTATGGAACCGTGGATTGCAAAAGATCCTCAATATTTGACCAGTATTTATAGTAGAATGCACGCTTTGATACAAGGCACTCACGGGTATATTTCTATAGTATATTTTGATATTCAAATCTATCTGCAGGGTGTCTACTCAAATTTTGTTAAAAAATTCCCTAATCTTCCCGGTATTTTTGTTTAAAATTTTAAAAAATCTAGTTTTTAATATAAAAAATCTAGTTTTTACTATATTTAAAATTTTTTTATTTTTTCTATTTGTTTTCTTACAATTGGAAAGTTATCAAGAGTGTAGTTTTTCTAGCATTTAATGTAATTGCAAATTAATTTATTAATCGTAAAATTTGATTAAATAATAAAGCGCGATATATCATTATATATATCTCAAAATACGCAAGAATATAATATAAAAATAGAAAACAAAAAAGAATTTATTATAAACATCTTAAGAAATATTAATTTATTAAAATTAATTATTTATTTACTCAATAAATAAAGAGTACTAATTTATTTAAATATTATCTATTAAAAAATTGAACAATTTTTTATGAAACTATTATATATGAGATCTTGATTCTGAAATAGATCATAAATAAAAAATTCACATTTTAATAAAAACTTAAATATTGCAAAGATATGTATGTTAGACATATGTTCCTTAAGTGATAAGAGTAAAATTATCAGTGCAATTTTTTTTTATAAATCCCCGAATCCAATTTTCCAATGCAAATTCCCTAATTTTTAAAAATAAAACAAAATTTCCTAAAAAAATACCAGGTTTTCAAAGTTTTTCCCAGAAGTATACACCCTGCTTTAACAATTCATAAAATCTATATCAATCAATAAAGATCGAAAATGAAACAGTAAATTGTTTTCCTCCAGGATACGATCGCTGGGAACAGCAGCATTGACATTGTGCTACGTAGCAATGGGAGCTGTTGAAGCCTATCACATCGAAAGTATAGATGCCTGGGATGTTGCAGCCGGGAAGCTGATAATTGAAGAAGCAGGTGGAGTCGTGATAGACACAGCTGGTGAATATTACTTTCAGTTTTTGCTCGCACACAGATAGAATCCTACACTAAACTTCATATCCTTTAATCATTTCGAAATTATAAAACTTGCTAGATCTTTATCCTAACATGTCAATAAGAATCTCTTATTAAATAAAAATTTGCATTTACAGGAGGAGTGCTCGATATAATGACGCCGAAAGTTATAGCAGCGTGTAATCAGCAAATTGCACAGCAACTCGTCGATCTTTTTAAGAGAGCCGATTCTGAGATACTTGATAAAAACTTAATTTAATCATATATATGCAACATACATTTTACATACTTTATGTTATATAATTATGCATCTTTGTATATAGACTTAAACATGTAGTATTATTAAAAGTGACTTAAGAGAGCTGCACTTGTATTTATAATTAAAATATTGTATATTAGAACTGACACATATGCACATTTTCTGTCTTCTCATCTTTCTATCTTTGTATATTATCTTAATATCCTTTTATCTGTTATATTTCTCACTTTTGACAGCTAAAATTAATAAATATGTTATACATATATCAATAAATCAGTATTAAGAAAAATAAAATAAATATCATTTGTTTACATAACAAATTACTTGTCTAAGACTAAACTTTATAAAGATTCTTTCCTCTTTTCACTTCTCATCTGTCCTACAATTCCAAGTATACATTATTATAAATAACAAATGCAACTCTGAGAAAAATTTATCTATCATACCTGCGGACCCATATTGGGTGGCATCTGCTGCGGATGAGGTGAATAATTTTGTTGCTGAGGTGGAGGTTGCTGTGGTGGCTGCGACATAGGCGGTCCTCCCTGTGATATCGGTGGGCCACCTTGATAACCTTGTGTTGGACTATGAGGATGATGCTGCGGCGGTCCCATTGGACTTCCTTGTGCATTAGAAGGAGATGGTGCCTGCTGCGGAGCCCCATCGGACTAGGGGCTTGCGGAGGTGGCATAGGAGATGATTGGGGCGAAGGACTCGCCATATTATTATGCTCAAAGGATTCCAGTTTATCCAGTAAAAAGAATCACCTAAAAAATCGAAATATTAATATGTATATATTATGTGTATATATATATATATTATATATGTAATAAGAGTATATATAATATATATATATATATATGATAAAATTAATATAATTAGGTATAGGAATCTCTATATTTTTGTATATATAAATATATTTTATATATATATATTATATATATATATATATATGATAAAATTAATATAATTAGGTGTAGGAATCTCTATATTTTTGTATATATAAATATATTTTATATATAATAGTATGTATAAATAAAATTAATAAAATTAGTATAAAAACCCGCACATTTTCGCTCTTTCTCATACATTTGTATAGATCTGAGAAGCCTAATTCGCGAAAATTCCTCTTCTCAGACGCATTCGATACTAGTTTCCCAGAGGGAGTTTCCTTCGTATTTCGTATGAAATGGATTTATCGCGCTTTCTCTTCTACGAGAAGGGAGAAAAAGTCGAAGCAGTAGCTGACAACAAAGCCATTGCGGTTTCTCGTTGAAGACGAGAAACCGCCTTCGCGTTCCGGGATCCCGATTTTACGTACCTTTCACAAGCTTCAAATACGCGACGCACTCGCCGAACTCGCTTTCGCGCTGTCCATCTCGCGCGCGCACGCGCTTCCTGTCAGAACTGGTCGGAGGATAATAATTTCGGTCGCACCGAAAAAGTCGCACAAAATTCTACCCGTACTAGGCAAGATGCACGCTACTGTCGGCCATTTTTCTCCGACTTTTCTCTTCACATCACATCCCCTCTCGACGCTTCGTGGATTCGTCACCGAACAAATATGGCGCTCGCGTCACTTCCGCGATGCAAAATTCCCTCCGGTCGTTATTTTCCGCGGCGAAAGGGATGATTTCTCAGTGATCGTTAAATTTCGCAAACTGAATATTGAATTTTTACGAACGATAAATAAATTGAAATTTCAATTTTCGCCGAGATTGCGCGAGATTTTTCGTCGAGGGAAAAAGTTAGGTTAAGTTAGGTTAACCGAGGTTAATAAATCCCCGATCGCGCGAAATTATCCTGGGGAGCTATATTTTTGACGGTAAAATAAATCAATGTAATATTACTCTCGATCGCGATTTATAATTGTGATATTATCTCTTACTTGTCATTTTGACAGGTTGACAGTTTTGACAGGTCGCGATCGACCCGCTCCGGAATTATTTTTTTTGGATGAAATGGCTTTGACGAGTAAACTCTGCGGACTGTCAAGTCAATTGTTCAGGAACAGAGTGTTCCTGAACACGGCAAGATGCTATTCCGAGAGACGTGAGTAATTATTATATTCATACATTTGTTATTTGTCAAATTGTTCCGATTAAATGACACTTCCCCAAATGTATTGTCAAAAGAGGTTAGGATGCTATTATGTAATTATATTAGTGTAAATAAATTTTTTCATGTATTAAAAAAATGGATCTAAAAATTTAGAGACACGTGTTGGAAGAGGAAGAATTATTGAAACCATTGAATTATTGAAATTATTGAATTATATATCTGGTGCGTAAAGTAGTTATGTAGCGAGGATCTCAAGTTAATTGAAAGTTTTTTGCATTATTAGCAAAGGAGTGGAGTATACTCTATCAGCCGGGAGAATATTCGCAAAAGGATCATGATAAAATTGCCTCAAAATATAATCTGCATCCAAAGGATTATAAACCTTCTCATCCAGAAGAGGCTGTTGGTGATTATCCGGAGTTGCCAATGATAGGACCGGCTGCTAAGGATCCGTATTATCCATATGACATACCGACATACAGAAAGAATTATAAAGAAACGGTGAGTTTACAGAGTATATAAAGTGTATAAAGAATCTTGAAAACCCTGTCAATATTGTAAACTCGAAAATCCATTTCAATATTGTAGTATGTTTTATTCTTTACATTTATATGGTTTTCTTTATTTTCCTTTAGCTGAATCACCGATTTGAAATCATGGGTGAGGATCGTTTCAGTTATGGTTACAAGTATAGAATTGATTTACGTGTAGCATCGGCAATATTTCTCACCACTATGACTGTACTTATGGGACTTGCGTATTTGTGTGAGCCATATGCTGTATTCTCGCCAATGGTAATTCCTGGTTTTAAACAATACTTAATGTTTACAGCTCTTAAAATAATTTAATATAATTTTTTAAATATAATTCTTATTTATGATTCTTTTTAATATAATTATTATATATAATTCTATAATTTTTTATATAACTGCATAGTTTAATTATTAAATTTATATTTCAGATGGAAAAGCAGTATCCGGAGAAAGGTAAAGTACATTATACATTTGAACCAGCAAAATAGATATAATAAGCTTATATGAAAAATACATCTTCTAATGTTATATATATATATATATATTGTAAAATATTATGAATAGTTCTTATTACAATATATGTCTATTTATTATGACAAGTCCTGCAACTTTCCACTACTTGCTATAATTTTTATTACAATTCATGTTTCTTTTTTCTCTTGTAGTATAGATTCTTATTTTTTTTCTATATACAATCCATATTTTTTAATGAAGGTTATTACAAATTGCTTCATAATATACTATCAAGTTTATTATCTCAATGAAATCTTGATAATTATAAACAAAACTGATATTATTACAAGTATAGATTTAAATTAAATCAAAGTATAGATCTTTGGTTTGTGATTTTTTATAAAACTGTAAAAGTACCATCGACTAACACATTTTTATTTCACTTCTTCGTACATTCATTACAAAAAAAGCAATAACATTTGTTCCAAAACTTTGATGCATACAAATCTTCAATGTATTCACATAATATTTAAACGAAAGGGAAAAAGTATTTTATATATAATATATATAAGAGATTGTGATTTGCAAAACATTGATTTGCATCGATATGGAAAAATCTTCATACAAATTGTACCATGACATACTTTACAGTGTGTATATGTATGTATGTGTATATAATGTATATATATATGACCATACTAAAAAATATATAGATCGAGAAAGAGGACGCGAAATAGGCTTACGGAATAAATTGTACAATTTAAATTGAGTGAGCATGGATATACGGATAATTTTTTTATGTGTCATTTATGTTTTTTTTTAATCTGTCACAACTATCGTTATTATAGTGTATGTAGTTTAAGAAGGACGTCGAATACACAACACACTTAGTAATATCACGTACTTACAAATGATTGATATGCTTAAGCAATTGTCTGCCTCCGTTTTTTTATTTTTCTCCAATGATTCACACATATTTCGTCGTATTAAATGTTTGACAGTTTATTTGCAAGAGAGAGATAGAGATAGAGAAAGAGAAATAGAGAAACACATATATATTCCGTAAATATTTAAATATTATTTCATTGCCTTCGTATTTGACTTTTCTCTTTTTGATGTCTAAACAGTAAAATATGTATTTTTTTGTATTTGCTTTGACAAAGATATATGCGATATATCTGCACACGAGATATAGAGAGAAAGATGCAATATGCTGTCAATCGCTGAAAATAATTAAGAGAATTTGTTTTTATAATTAGATTTTACATCTTACGGATGTCATAGAGTGTATAAATGTACACAGAGAGAATTTTCTCTTAGAATTTATCCTGAAATTCATGGTAATCGTGGGACAATATCTGGGTACTAGAAGAATTTTATGAGTTTCTCTGATTAATATTTACCAGAATAAAAAAAAATATTAATAAATCTATCACAATAAGCTATAAAATATGTTTGATTAATTTTATTAAAATATAGTAAAAAATTTCAGTAATATTAAAATATATTAAAAATAATTCTTTAAATGTTTTAAATAGAATAGATGTCAAAAAATTATATAAATATAAAATATTTTATATAAATTTTACAATGCAACATGTTTTCAATCCAGCTTAATTGTTCATAAATTTTATAATAATTTATACATTAATATAAATATAGGTAATTTTAACATATGCAGCATGGTAATTTTCGGCTTATTATCAAACAGAATAAACTTTGTAATGAATTTGCGATAAAATATAAAAATTCTCTCCATGTATACATTAAAAATTTCGAAGATTACACTTACATATTTATCGCAAATTGCGCAAAATATACTTGAATGATATGATTCCGAAGGAATTTCTCTCTTAAATGCAGCGAGATATTGCTTAGTTTTTTTTATATTCAAAATATGAGCGTTCGAAATATCGGTATTACACTCTCTGTTAATACTTTCTTTCTTGTTTTTATACGCCAAACCAAATTGCTAATTAATACTGACTAGATACTTTGCACGGATACCTAAACACACAAATTCAAAATCCTTTGTATGTAATATATATTTTAAAAAATTATTTGTTTCTCCAAAAAACATTACTTTTTAACTAAATCAGTTCTCAATGTAATTAATAATTTTTCATTTCTCTTGAAATATCTCTGCATTTCAAGTTTTCGGCACCAAAATTTTTTATTATATAATCATATATAATTTGATATTAATTGTATTGACTTATTGTATAATTATATATAATTTTATATTAATTTATTATATATATAATAAGTCATATAAAATTATATATAATTATACAACAGCTAACATACATAGTTAACGTGCAGAATTTTATATATTTCTATTGTCTATATTATTTTATATTGTTATATATGTTTTATATAATTATTAATAAAACATTTTTCACCGGGTTACAATTTCATTTTTTTCGCATTGTGTACAGTGAATAGAAAATTTTTTTATACAATATTTGTTCGCTTTAAAAAATTATTTCGGTTACATAGCATAATGAAATAAATATATATTTCTGAAGTGATTAAAAAATTAGATAATATCTTAAAAATAGATACTTGAAATACAGTATCTCTTAATACATTTCTTTTATTTGTTTTCTCTTTCTTTCTCTTTGTTTTTTCTCTAATAATAAGTTTACTGCCCTAAAGTAGTGTCTTATTAGGTGGATATGTCATCTTTGTTGCTGTAGGAATAATTATTCTTACGTAATAACACAAATCTCGCACGACAAAGCATCGGATACGCGTTTATTCTTTTTTTTATGTACTTTCTAATACTTACTTATCGTAAGATCTATGCATGTGTGTATGTGTGTGTCTGTGTGTATTTGTGAAAGAGAGTGCAAAGTTACATACATATGTATCTTTCGAGACAAAGAATTGGTAACACATTGATAGCGATTATTACTTTTTTTTTGCTTTTTTTTGGTACTTATCGGTTTATTATTCGCTATGAATAAAGTTTGCAAACTGACGCGAAATATGTCTCTCCTATATCAGGAATTGATTTTCTTCTTTTTTTCATTCATCCTCGCATCAGTTTGCCTTTCATCATCATCTCGTTTTTCGACGATATAGACAGAAAAAATGTTAAATCCATTATTCGGCGAGAGTTATTTGATTTTTCACTCTTTTTATTGAGTCTCTCGGTCACGTGAGACCGAAAAAGGGAAGCCCTTGAGCGAGGGGGGACGAAATTAATTATAATTTCCACAGACTAGCCCGTCTCCGAGAAATCTGAATTTGCTTTTTTTTCTTTTAGAACTTTAAACACTTCGAGTGCGCCGGAGTATATTTAAATATTGACAACATAGCTCGTTTCCACTTCATTAGACTAGATTAACAACATGTTTATATGTGTTTGTATGTGTGTGTGTGTGTATATATATATATACTATATATATACAATGATCATAAATATACTATATGCGATTTGATTTCTTATATGAGGAAAGTGCGTGCAAATAAACCTCGCCTTGGGGAGTATAAATTACACGATATTACACGTGTTTGATTTAAGATTAACAGCAATTGCTTCAGAATTTCTCATTACTGAATGTCCTTTTTGGAAGCTAAGACATTCACGAGCAGAAAAAAAGGAAAAAAAAATAGAAAAATTATACAATTACATTGGTATGTCTATACGCTACTTTATAGTCGAGTATTGAGTGTAAGAAGAAAGCGATTAATTTCTTAACGACTCAATTTTCTCTCTACTTTGCAAAGCAGCGCTTAAATTAGCCTATCTAATCAATAAGTCGAGTCTAATTTCTTCGTTGCACATTCAATGGATCATATCTCACTCGTATTTTGGTATAATATAGTATACTTAAAAATTACTCGCTTATATATTCGTTCGTAATATATATATGTATGTATAAAGAGGAAATTCTGCCAATAGTCGAACAAAATCCTCGCGCGATTATTATATAAGAAATTATATGCGATACAAGCACAACAATCTTTTTATAGGGCCTTTAACTATTACCAGAATTTCCAAAAATATTGTACAAAATATAAACAGTTATATATCATCGCGACATTGGAAGGTAAGGATGTCGTCAAAAAAGCTATACATATATATGTAAAAATATATAACAGCTGCCTCGAGAAATAACGTATATATATGTGCGTGTAACACAAAAATACATAAAATACAAGATATAACTGATACAATCGCTCCTGTCATTTAATTCGCAATTAAATAGAAGATAGCATATAAAAAGAATTAAATATATGCATGCGTGCTAACGTGTGACATCACAATGACATTTCGACTTAAAACAATTATCAACTCACAATTATGGACCTAATGAGAGATAATACAAATTATGTGTACAATTAAATTATTAATTATTTACAGTATTGATAGATCTCTGCTTATTTCTTACGTCAAGTAAATTAGTTGGCTTTAGCTGGAGAGTGGACAAAAAAATAAGAGAATACACGCATTCATTCATTCGCTAACTGAATTATTTATCTATCCAAGTATCAGTATCCAAGTATTCAAATAGCATTAATACTGTGTACTCTACTGCTGGTATTTTATATTGTGTGCGTAGCTAGTTGCGCTTTTCTCCAAGATTCTATATAAACAATGACTTTATATATCATAAAATAAGGGTAAACGTAACATATAATTTCATCTACGTTGTGTATTCATTAGCCAATTATATCACATTAGTTTTTCATCAGGAATTTGTCTTTTTTTCTTTGAATATAATTAATATCAAGGATGAAGAGACCTACTCTCTAAGGGAGAATTTTTACGTTTTCTATCTAACAATAAGTCTCTGTGTGGATACGAAAAGCAGATGTGTGAAAGTTCATTTTGATTTAGAATCCAAACTATTGACACACTAACTTTTATAATTATATGGCAGCTTTGTAACTACTTTTTTAAATTTCGCGTATTTTAATATCCTGGCAATCAATTCGTCTGGATTATTATTTTTATTACCCGTGTTTTGTACTAGAACGATATATACTGTCGATTTTCTTTTTAACTAAATGTGTTTTAGGCCTTTTTTTCTGTTGCTGTTCAGGTATCACTAAGTATTACGAACCTTGATTATACTTACACGCATAGTTTAGCGCGTGAAGATTGAGAATCGGTGATTCACAAATGTTTCTACTCGGGGCTATTATATTATACAAGTGAAGCATAACTTTTTCTCTTCAAATAATAAATCGACGAAAGATTAATGTAGACGGATCCATTCGCTTGATTCATTCTTTTAAGACGAGGCACACAAACTGCTATAATTATAATTCACTATCATTACATGGCAACATCTTCCACTGTTATATCTAAGAGTAAAGGCTGTGTCGTCACATTAAATGTTAAAAATGTTAAATACAAGAAGAGACACAGTACATTCTTTTTAATGACAATGAAATTAATTCGACGATTCCTTTGTTCTACGGAATGTATAAAACAGTTAGTGTGTTTAATTTTCGAGAGATTGGGATCTTTCTGAACTGAAACAATTTGCCCGAAATCAATAGCAAAATATTATCGAATTAAAATTAAAATTGCATTTAATTTTTGTCTGCTTCATATATAGCTTATATTGGATTTTATCGAATTGGCGCTAGACGATAGTGTGATTTAAGGCTCCTGACTCTCGCCGATTATGTTAGAATTGTGACGTCAGAGGCGAGAAAGCACACGTTAAAAATTCTTAGATGCCATCTCGAAATAAAAAGATATTTCGATGAATCCCATTTGAAATAATATTTCAAATATCTTCGAAATATCTTTTCATTTAAAAATGGCATTCAAAAATTTTCAATATGTGCTTTTTTGTCTTTTTCTCTGACGTCACAATCCGACAGGCCGCACCGAGGATCCAGGAGCCTTAAAGCTGAAAACTCGAATATCTATCAACAAGTTGCCAACAAAAAAAAATTTTTCTCCTCTATCATCATATACAATAGTATATGTAACAGTTGCGTTCAGTCGTACCATGTGTCTCGATAAAAGCGCGTACCAGAGCGCTAACACGAGACTACAATGGTCCTACATTAATCAACGTAATTGGTGTTCATCCTTGTGTAATCAACAGCGTGTTCTGTTGACGCTCGAAAATTCACTTATCTACATAAAGCTACAAATGTGTGGACGTTCACATACATCTAAATAAATTAAAAAAGAAATCGCATATACACACGTATACACTATATACTTCACTATTAATATATATATATATATATGTACAATTTTCTAGCAAAAAGGCAAATAAATAAATTTCTCCTTAAATTAGGTATCTAGAACGGAGCTGAAGATCGGGGTTTCTCTCATTAATTAATGTTACAATAAACATCGTTACATATAGTTGTAGTTAAGTATAAGTTGCATATCTCCTCCGTACAGCGAATACTTGTCAACTGTATTGTAGCAAAACGAAAAGACTACAATAAAAATGCATTTTAGGATAGATATTGGTTCACTTGACATTTTTCTCCAAATTTTCTCCAAGAGTTTTGGCATTTCGATTCTCCGAACTGATTACAAACGCAAATTTAAGTTTAAACAGCGCGTTACGTATTGTTATATCGAATCTGCTAAATACGGAGCTTGCACATGTGTTTTCATACTAAAATCTTCATACAAGATTTAATAATATATTAAGATACAACCTCACAGAGGCTGCGTCGAAACGGGATAGACTCGCTAACCCTTTCACTGCTCTTAGTTAGAGCATTAGTAGTAGTAGGGAAAAGGTTTTGTTTCCGCAAAAAAAAAATATACATACCTACACAGTAAATATAAATCTTTTAATTCACTCACGTTTCAGCCTTCCGATTTCGAGACGCAGGCAGTGAAAGGGTTAGATATATTCTAGTTTTGCGGCTGTGCTTTCTTGCCACCACGTGGCTTGATGCTTTCAGAAATCTGCCACATCGCCTCCTCACAGAGGAAATCGCTAAAGTTGTTGAAAAACGTTATAATACGCTCATGCTTCTTGAAAGAATACGTGCTGTAAAATAATACAATAATTACATGATTAAAACTTTAAAATTTATTAAGTATTTCCATGTGAAAAAACAAAAATATACCCACCCTTTCTTAAATCTCTTCATATTTTCAACAATATTAAATTGTTGCCATCTTTTCGAGAAATTTATAGTGCCATCTGGTAATAAATCGTTATTTCCGATATGCACAAACGTAAGATCTTGTAAAACAAGTCCGCTAAAACAAAATTATATGTATATATAAAATTAAATGCACAAGTAAACTGAAAAATATTATTCAATAAATATTTATTTCAATACTGCCTAATAAATTATTTATTTGTTTTGAAAAAGATTTTCTTATATCAAATATTTTTCAAGTCAAATCAATATTATTAATTTCAAATAAATTATTTATTTGACAGTATATGTATAATTATATGTAAACATCAAAGATACATGGTGTCCCATTTTAATCGATTGGTGGATTATTAAAAAAATACTTGACCTTAAAAGCACCCTTCAAAAAAGAGCTAGTAATATCATTTTCTGTCCTCATTAATAAAATCAAACAATTTTTGCTTGAAACATTTGGTTGTACAATCAAAAATAAAAAAATTGGAAGTGATCGATTAAAATCGGACTGTATACAATACGAGATGGAATTTTTGTAATAGGACAACGAATATACTTGCGCTCTTACATATAAGGAATACATGGCGGCTGCGTTTCTGCCAGAGCCTGTCTATAGGCTCGGAAGCTGCTGGAGCTGTCGATGAGAGCGCAATATTCCTTAAGACCTTCCGTAATGTGCTTCTGCCACTCGAGTCTCCTGATAGGCGCACTGTCCAGCGCGGATAGTAACGCGAGATAGCTATTGAAGTTATTAATTTTCCTAAGATGCTTCATGATTTTGATGAATTTGACGACGTATTTCTCCCTATCCTTTGCCTCGTTCTCCAGTCGGTGCTCCAATATCCGTGATCGCGCCCAATACGACATTTTGTTGAAGTGTTCGGTAAATCTTGTGAGATTCGGACTTCTCTCCTCGTTCTGCTCCTGCGCCCAGATCAGCACCTCCGGGATTTCTATCTTCATAAACAAGTCGGCGTCGAGCAGCGTCATCTGTTCGGCGATCTGCTCGCTCTTAAAGTCCAACAGAGAAGCCTGTTTCGTTGTTACGCTTAGAGACGAGAGAATCGGCTGCGTAGCTTGTAACTGCTTGATAGTGTGCTTCTCTAAGATCTTGACCCGCAACGCTTTGGCCATCGTGAGATCTCCGCTGCACACTAACTGCTGCACGAATTCCATCAGAGTTTGCAGAAGAACGTCGTCGAGATCAGATATCCTGTATAAAAGGGAAGGATATCAAAGATTAGAGAAATATGTAAGATTGTAAAAATGTGAATAAGAGTCTACTTACGTTAAATCGCTAACGACTCTGACTAATAAGGAGAACGCTTCACGCGCGGCTCTTTGTTTCACGACATCTGGGGAACACGAGAAACGTTGATGGCGTCTATGTAGTTTTCTAATTAATTCCAATGGCTGCATGAAGGTTCTGTACGTCGTTAGAAACGCTTCTTGGTACAGGAAGTCTGTAAAAGATGTATTGTATTTATAGACATGATATTGCGCATATAATTATAATATAATATATGATATAATATAATTACATAATTATTACAATTATTAATAATGATGTCTATTTATTAAAAATATTACCTGATTCTTTTTCATCTACGCAGCGTATAAAAATATATAGGTACAATATATAATGAATATTTAATTGTTTAGATATTTTTCTAACAATAATCCAGAGTACTTTATGTTCGATGAATTAAAAAGAGTACATACCGTGTTTATTCGCTTTCGTGGCGTGAATTAATAAAGCATCTGGGTGTCCGCCACGTATATCCGGACCTTCTTCGTCGGGTTTCTTTAATACCAAATATTTGTTAATATCTAATTCATCTAAAATACTATCATCTTGATCGATATCCCTCAGCTCGAGGGTATTTTCATCGACTGATATGGAAGAAAGAGCATTGCTAGCAGGTCTGGACGATGGTAATACTGTATCCATGATAACGTTGTTGTTCTGAAATAAAACGATCGTATTAATAACACAGTATCGTAAATTTATTCAGGATGTCTACTAAAATTTCGTAAAAAAATTCCTTGAGAATTTCCTGATCTTCTCAGTAATTTCGATTAAAATTTCAGATAAAATAAAAAAATTTATAGATGCAGTTTTTCTAGCATTTAATATTGATTTATTAATTGTAAAATTAATTTGGACAATAACAAAGACACATTGTATCTAAACGCTAAAAATATATGCAAAAATATAAAACAAAAATAGAAAACAAAAAATAATTTATTATAAATGTCTTAATAAGGAATATTAATTTATTTAAATTAATTATTTATTAAATAAATAAAGAGCACACTAATTTATTTAAATATTATCTATTAAAAAATTGAACAATGAAACACAAAGATCTTGATATTGAAATATTTTAATAAGAACTTAAATATCGCAAAGATATATTAGACACATGTTTCTTAAGTGCTAAATAAGAGTAAAATTATCAAAAGGACAATTTAAAAAAAATTCTTTAAATTTCAAATTCCATGAGAATTTTCTGATTTTTTAAGGTAAAATAAAATTCCTTGAGAATACCAAGATTTTTCTCGGGAATATACACCTGCAATTATATTGATATATTTACCAATTTCACCGGAGTCGAAGGTGTAACATCTTTCTTTTCATACGTCAACTCCTCCGAACTCTTGAGAGGCGTCGATGTCACAAGAGGATCCGCGTTGTGAATATTTTGCATACTTATTGTGGGTTTTGGCGATATCGGCGGAGGTGTAGCGCTTGATTTAATGGAACGAGATCTCTTTGGTGGTAACGCCGGGGGCAGACTAGAATTATTTGTTGCCTCTATCGAGCTCGGTGTGGTGGTCACAGAAAGGCTGGAAAAAAGTACAGCTTTTTAATTTATCTAATAGCATTACTTGTTAAATATATATTTCTATAATAAAAGTGTATAAATATACATAAGAACTTGTATAAATTATCAAAATTTTTTGAGAAATTCCCTGAGAATTCTTTGATTTTTAAAATTCCAAGTAAATTAAGAAAATTTATAAATGCAGATTTTTAATGTAAGTTTTTTATTATATGCTTTCTTTATTATATGTTTCTTTATTGTTTTCTAATGTTTTATATACATACGATTGCAAGATTGCAAAGTTATCAAGAATCCAGTTTTCCTAGCATTTAATATTTATTTATCTTATCTTATAAAATTACTTATCTTTTATAAAATTAATTCGGACAATAATAAAATACGATATACCATCATATCTAAAGGCTAAACATGAGCAAAAATATAAAATAAAAATATAAAATAAAAATAATTTGTTATAAACATCTTAAGGAATATTAATTTATTAAAATTAATTATTTATTAAATTATTTATTTATTAAATAAATAAATAAGAAGTACTAATTTAATTAAATATTATCTATTAAAAAATCGAACAATTTTCTATGAAACTTATATAAGATCTTAATACTAAAAATATATTATCAATGAAAAAAATAAAATTTTAATAAAAATGTAAATATTGCAAAGATATGTTAGATATATGTTTCTTAAATTTTTTAAAATTCCCTAAATGCCAAATAAATTCCATGAGAATTCTCTAATTTTTCAAAGTAAATTCTTTGAGAATACCAGATTTTCAAGGTTTTTCTCAGGAGTATACACCCTGATTATGTATCGCACGATACCTTGAGCTATCGTGTAGAGCAGTCACAGTATGCGTCACAAAGGAACACGATTGAGTTGTGGTGAGGGACATCTCGTGCTGTTGCCACTCTGCTTGCATTGAATTGTAAGCTGCTACAGAGTGACGAGTTCCGAGACCCGAGATGAAGTCGTTATTACTGTGGGAGCAGTTTCCAAACATCTCCATGTAAGCCATAACTGAAATACATACAAGTATATTAACTTGAGAATCTTAGAGTAATCTTTTGTTACTATATAAATTATTCTAAATAAAAACTTAATTCTTTTAATGGCATATGTAATACAGTCTGTATGACTGTAGCAAGCACGATGTATGCTGCAATAAGATATTAAAGCGTATGATGTATGAAAATTGTGTGGAAACACTGATGCACAAGCGAATATTATTGTTGTGTGTATTTGTTGTTTCGATAGCCACGTGTAAGGAAAAAAAACTGAAACAGTCAAACTCACTGGAATAAGAATGGAATCTTTTAAACAGCATCTTTCGTATCGCTGTATTATTATTACACTCTGACAACTATTGCACAATGGGAACAAGTAGTGCGAGTAGTAGTAATTACAGGCTTCATTAAAAGTGTCATGTAAGTTAAGAAGATTTCATTTCACTATTTTTTATCTTTTAGTTCCGTTTGCCTCGACGAAAGGATGCAAACTGAGCTTTTAAACTCTCGACAACCGATGAAGCATAACCGACTCTCTATTAGTGAAAAAGGTCAAATTAATTAGAAAAAGAATGCCCACGTAAGCTCTGCTCTACTTTTCACTCATTTGTGTTAATTGCAGAAAACTCGCAGAATTTTTTCTATCGTAACATCGTGAAAAATATCAATTCAATATATTTTCTGAATTACATAATAAAAATTTAATTTTTAATATAATAAGATTTTAAGCGAATAAGTTAAATATAAAAATAAGTGACTTTTATAATTAATATATAATATTCAACATCATGAGTGAAATCTTCGCAATATTATTCATTATAAAATTTAAAAAATAAATTATGAGTAAGCTGCAGTATTAATCAAACTTCAAGCTCAATATCAAACAAACAAAAAGAAATAATATTCTAAAAATATCTGAGATCAAAAGAAATTGAAAACATGCCGGAAGAAGCCTGGAATTTAAAATCTGAAATATATATGAAATATAGGACATTAACTTAGCGTATAAAAGTGTTTGCTGAGAGGGGGGGAAGTAGTTGAATTATGTGGGCAGGATCCCACTTACCGGAATATGCCACTGATTGGAACACTGGGGGATATACAAAATATTGCGTCAGTTTTACAATCCATTACAAAAATGTAATAATATTTGTGTGGAAAAAATTATTTCTGCTATTATTTTTTTTTAATATCTACGCATCGATATAATAAACTATATATAAATGATATCAACATAAAAAACGTTATATAATTGACAATGTCGCGAGGAATATTCGCCAATGTAAAAAGTTTCTTAAAATTTTTTTCATGTATAGTAAAATTTTTTTCATGTATAGAATGTCCTAAAAGTTCTGCAACAGTCAAATATCTCGAAAACAGGCTTTTTTCCTTTAATTTCTTTAATTTTAAAGTGAATTTTACGTGGCCGTGACACAATGCTATTTATAGTCACACTAATATTACCACTTAAAGTCCTACAAGTTTATTTGGAACATTTTTCTAAAGCCTTTATTTTGAGATATTTAAGTGTTGCAAGATTTTTGGAACACTCTGTATATCCCAAATTGAAAAAAAATAGGAAAGAAATAAAATGCCAACATCCACGCTGTTATATAGATATTCTGTTGGCTTCCTCCATCTTTTTCATTAGCGACATTAATGATAATTCGTTAAGAGGAACACTTACTATGCCGCTTCTTTAGTGGCAGAGGAGGTGGTTTGTTGGCGTCCGGACTGTCCCCGTTACTGGTGTGCAGACTGCACGTGGATAAATGTTCGTTCTCCGGTACATTGTCGTATTGCGACGGCTGCCGTTCCTTTCTTCGTTTGGATCGCTTCTCCGGCAGTGCTGGAGGCGCTCCATTAGAATCAGACGTAACTGTCGATTCCATTTCCTGCGTATGAGAGACGTAGATGAAGCTACTCTGTCGTTTAACGAAGATTCAAGCGAAAAAAAAGAAAACGAGCAATAAACACCCACATTTACCAATTTCTCTAATAAAGCTGGGTCCCCGTTTCCAGATACGTTGGTCGTACTGACAGTACTTTTAGAGCTGGTCATCGTCTTCTGTGTAAAAATAGAGCCGTTACTGTCGGAGGATAATTTGGTCTGGGAGAACGACTGTTGCTGCTGTGCGCTAAATGATTGAGAATTATAACTAATGCTGCTCTGTTGCGACGATCTCTTGGACGCGGTGGTGTAACTTTGGGATGAGCTTCGTTGAGAGTGCATGGAAACGAAGCCCGATTCCTGCGTTTGCGTAGACAATCGTTCCATCTTTCCCTCTATACCTAGAACAACATAAATACGAATTAAATACAAATATAAATATTTAGCTTATTTAAAATAAAATAAAGGAAACAATCATTTATAATGTTAATGTTAATGTTTCCTTACGAAATAATATTTTGATATTTTTCCAACCGAAATTAGACTTATGCGACATTATTCTATATATTTGACAATTATGAAGTGAAAGAGAGAAAAAGAAAAGGCTTTGTGTTCGATGTCCGCTATGTCTTGAACGAAGATCTGTAAGATACTGTTTAATCATCATGGCCGGAAGGTCGATGTCACCCACGCAACTTGTTCCACTAACTATTTCAAGACTTCTTGCGTAATTTTAGCTCTCGCGTATATATGTATATTCCTTTTCTCTTCCAATCTTTATAAATGTTTGGAAATTGAAATTTTATATTAAATAAAAGGATTAAGCAACTGCTAATTAAATAATAAAATACGGCATTCTTGAACTTTATTTTATGGGAAAATTATATGCAATTTTAATTACTAATTCAACAATTTCTCAAACTTTTTTCAAAAATTAATTATTAAGTTACTCCACTTATTAAACTATATAATAAAAAATGTATACCCGTGAATGGATTAAGCATTTCCTGAGGTGTTTGTTGACCTAGCAACATAGTACTTGGTATGCTAGTTTCAGAACCATCCCAGCAATTACAGTTTGATGTACCATTCACTTGCATGCCTGTAATAATGCAGAAAATATATATTATATCGTGTTGATAAACTTAAATATCATTATAATGTATAAATAAGTTTGATGTTACATTATAAATATACATGGCATCAATAATAAAAATTTTCTCAATTTACATTCTCGCTAATAATAATAATTCTGATCTCATGAAAATAGCGCATATTGATTAGGTTTATGAAAAGAAATGATATATTATTATATATATATCCGATATTGTACAAAACTCTTGAAATACCTTCATAGCTTATATCGAGCTTCACGTACTTTACCCACTTATTATTAACTACGGTATATAAAGCGTGGGAAAACCCCGGATTCATAATTATCGCGAACTTTTTTTCGATATTAATAAAGTACGTTCGCTAGAAATACGTTTGTACGGCTCAGTCGGACGTTCGAAGGTAGACTGAGCTCGATGAAAAGAGCGAGACACGATTAGAAACACCAAACTAATATGCTGAGTAAGCGTTGACCATGGAACATTCATGTAGGAATGCATTTACAATCCTACAACGCATTCCGCAACAACTGAAACTACAGTTTCGCAATCGCGAAATGCTACAGTCGACAAGATGATGGAGTATTAAGTAGCGCATTCGAATTGTTCTCTTACGTTGAATAATGATACAATGTTTCGTCCACGTAGAAAATATTAAAAATTATATCTGAGCAATATGCGCGAGAACCTTGTTAAGGGTAAAAATAAAATTTTAACGCCACTATTAGTTACCTTGAATAGTAGCCATGAGACTTAGGTCCATACTATCATTCAAGGACTCGTCATTTGGTCCCATTATGGCTCGAATCTCGTCCTCGTCTCGGGAATGATTCAGAGCCGAATCCAAACTGCCGGCTGACGCGCTGAGAAGAGACGACGAATCCTCAGGGGATCGGCTTCGCAGGGACACCCTATCAAGACTAGATGCCAGAAGACCCTCCGACTCGTCCAGGAGCTGTTGGGTCCTCGTTCTTCTTTTTGGCGGCAACGGAGGTGGTGTACCGGAAGAGCTGTTTTCCTCCGACAAACATACATTTGTTCTACGGGATCGAGCATTTCCACGTTCAACCGCTGAGTGACAATGATTTATTATCTCCTCCCCACCCACTCCCATATAACGAAAAACGAGTGTTACCTGTCGGGCAGCGGAGGTTTCGGGGGTGGACTAGAATCCCGTAAGATCGATTCCGAACTGTGCGAGCTGCGAACCAAGCTACTGCTAGCAGCAGTTTGCTCCAGGATCTGCCGTTCCCTCGGTGTCAAAGGTATATCTGGCAGGGAGTTCCTCTGCGTCAGTTCCGACCCATATCCGGAGGTTCTGAAAAGTTCCAGTTTTAATTAATTATTTTGTTTTAATTATTTGTAATTCTTATTACTGAATTTTGCTAGGGAAAAATGTTTCAAGCAAGAATCGTATAATTTTCTGATGCATCATGTATAAAAATTGATATTGCTTATTTTACACCATCCTTTTATTTATAATAACTTGTATCAGTTTCAATATTTGCTTCTACTATATTAATTGTTGATGGTGTGATGGATGGCAGGGGAATTATTTCGAGGCACATTGCATTGAAATTCCATTTGTTTCTTGCTGTAAATTACCTATTATTATTCGCAACAGACGCGGGTTTCTGCTTGTTGGCGATCTTCTCATGCGCAAGGGCCACTAGATTCTTCACCGCCTCCTCGACCAGGCCGATCACGTGCGTCACGTTCTCGGTGTCCAGGGCGGAGGATTGATCACCGTGCAGCAATACATCGTCGCAGAGTTTCAGCAATTGTGCTAACGCTTGGTACACCTGATTCGTGGCGGATCCCAATGTGGAGCTGCAACGAAATTCCAGAATATTACAGGATTTATGATATATAGGATGCATCTAAATAAGTGCGCAAAATTTTAGGAGATAATTCTTTGTCGAAAATTAAGGAGGGTTTCTTATATAAACATTTACTCTTATATCCCTCTCTGAGGAGTTACATTTTTCTAAAAAAAGAGATAAAATTTTTAAGTTTTTTTCTCAAATTTCAGACAAATTAAAAAAATGAAACTTGATGGATAATTTTCACTAATAAAAAGGATATTTATTAATATTTTTTTATCTTCTCCTATATCATTGTAAGGGAATGAAACTAACAATCCTTATTTAATTGTTTATCAGAACTTTTTAACGGATCGGAATATGATTATTTAAAAATATGCATTAGAAAATTTGATTCATTTAGAAACTTTTTTATTTGTGTTTTGTTTTTTTTTCGTAAAATCGAGTTTTTAAGAAAATAATTAATTTACTTTTCGACAGAGAATCATCGTATCAAAATTTTTCGTACTTATTTAAATATAGGGAATAGGGAATATATAGAATTTATAATAAATTAATTATTAATATACAAATTAATTATTAAGCTGCGTCCTCACTGGAGCACCGACAAACAACTTTTTGTTGATGTTTCTTCCAAAAAAGTTGCTAGTTGTTCCTTAAAATTCCTTACTATTTCTGTTGCCAGCAACCAAAGTTGTGGCAAGTTGACATATGTCGAATTATTTGGGAACATTTAGCAACAATACGCAACAAAAGGTTGCTCGTTGTTGCCGAAGTCTCTTAAAGTTCCTGACTGTTTCTGTTACCAGCAATAAAAGTTGTCACAAGTTGACATAAGTCAAATTATATGGGGACATTCAGCAACAATAAGCAACAAGAAATTGCTCCAGTAAGGACCCAGCTTTAGATAAGATTGAATTTAATTTCCAGCACGGAGAAAGCACAATACGCAACAAAAGGTTGCTCGTTGTTGCCAAAGTTTCTTAAAGTTCCTGACTGTTTCTGTTACCAGCAATAAAAGTTGTTTCACACAAGTTGACATAAGTCAAATTATTTGGGGACATTTAGCAACAATAAGCAACAAGAAATTGCTCCAGTGAGGACCCAGCTTTAGATAAGATTGAATTTAATTTCCAGCACGAAGAAAGCAGAATTGAAAGCCCCACCTGTTGTCGTAGAGCAGGTAGGACTTCAACGCGTTGTGTATCGTGGTGACGGTATCGAGGACGATGGTGCCGTTCCCGGGCAGCATCTCGAGCTTCTTCTTGGACACGACGTCCCGGAAGTGGAGCAGCGCCAGCTGGACCTGACGCACCTGGATATGCAGATCACGTAGGGGATTCTTGTCCAGAGTATTCCCGGAATCGTTGCAACCCGGTGCGTTCTTGTCCCTCGGCGTTCGCGGTGACGAGGGCGAGGCGGCCCTCGTGCCCGTTCCACTGCCTCCGCCGCCCCCGCCACCCCCACCGCCACTTCCGCTTCCCGGGGAACGCATGTGGGAGAGCTTCTCCAGAAAGTCCTCCTTGAAGGAGCGCGCACGACGCGCTAGTTTGCCGCCGCGCGCCTTCCCGCTGGAGCGCTCCTCGACTTCTATGCAACAGAAAGCACACATTTTGGGTCAATCAGGGTGTCAAGTGTTGTAAACAAAATTTTCTGTCTGATTTTTAAAATTCCAAAAAAAAATTCCAAAAAATTCCAAAAAAAAAATTCCAAAAAAATTCCAAAAAAAATTCCAAAAAAAATTCCAAAAAAATTCCAAAAAAAATAAATAAAAAAAAATTTATGAATGAATTTTTAATATAAGTTTCTTTATTAAATGTGCTTTTTCATGTTTTCTATAGATACGATTGCAAAGTTATCAAGAGTGCAGTTTTTTCCTAGTATTTAATATTGATTTATTGATTATAAAATTAATTTGAACAATAATAAAGTATGATATATCATATCATATCTAAACGCTAAAAATATAAAATAAAAATAGAAAAAAATAATTTATTATGAACTTCTTAAGAAATACTAATTTATTTAAATTAATGCTTTGTTAAATTATTATTTATTTGTTTATTAAGTTATTGTTTAATTATTTATTAAATAAATAAGAAGTACTAATTTTATTTAAATATTACCTATTAAAAAATTGAACAATTTTCTATGAAACTTATATAAGATCTTGATATTAAAAATAGATTGGCAATAAAAAAATTACACAAATTTTTAATAAAAACTGAAATATTGCAAAAATGTGTTAAACATATATTTTTTTAGCTATATGCTAAATAACAATAAGATTATCAAAGAGACAATTTTTTTTTCATTCCTCGAATGTCAATTAAATATCATGAGAATTTCTTGATTTTTCAAGGTAGAATAAAATTCCCTGAGAATACCAGGTTTTTCCCAAAAGTACACACCTTTGTTGATTTGGATTAATTGATTAGAAAGATAATTTTAATCTGCCTAATAGTCTTCTATGCAATTCAGGATGTCAGGACTATCTGTTTTATCTTATAAAAATTATTTTAGAAAATTGTTTTATATAAGATATATAACAATTTTCAAAAATTTATTTTTTAAAAATAATTTATTATTTATGATTAATAAATTTTACATAATATTATTTTTGGAAAATAGTTAAATGTATATACATTGTATATTATAGTAATGTAATTAAGTAACACAAGTATAACGTTTTCTAAAACTATTTTTATGCAATAAAAATCGATTGTCCTGCTAGGCTGAACTGTGTAATATAAATAATTTATTATATGTATACTATATAAATATGTATAATAATAGTATATGTATACTATATAAATATAATAAATTACTTTTAGAAAATTGTTATATATATACATACACAATATTGATTTTGATTAACAATATTGATTTCAAGTTTCTTAAAACATCTAATTTTTCTTGATTTTTTGCATATATTCGTCTTTTTATGAGATTTTTAAAAACTGAATTAATATTCAGTTAGCTTCGCCTCCCTCCAATATGAATCTAATTTGCCTACTTAATGATTCAAGCATCTAATTCTAGACTTGAGTTCTTAATTAGCACTTAATCTCGAAATAGATTAGACTTTATTTGACGCTGAAAGATGAGGGAAAATTTAATTTAATAGAGAGTTATCTCTCTCTTATCTCATTCTAATTTCATTTATTGTTACGTATAAAGTTTGACTGCAACGTGTATTTTACACGACATAAATATTTTAAATATAAAATGTTATGTTTTCAGTTTTTCTCTCACGGATATTTTTAATATCAGTTATATATACCTGTTTTATTTTTTAACGTTGCAACTTTTACTGTCTTGCATTAGACATGTGTGCATACATACATACGTCATTCATTTGTACATTGTTTTTTGCTCACGAGTCTGTAATTTAATATCACTTTATTTGTTAAAATCTCTTATCCTAAAAACGATATTTTTTTTTGTAATTTTCCGTATCTCCGTTTTAATCTGCGATTCGTAGCCGTAAACGAATTTAATTCGGAGATGGAAGATAAAAAAAAAGTACTAGCATACGAAAATATTTTCCGCATATTTATTTATTTGATTATTTCCTTTTTAAATATAATGCATACGCGTTTTTTTCCTAGAATAAATGCATCGCATTGAGCAAATGGGATTAAAATCTTGCGAACTTTTTTCGATATACATATAACTTGGTATTCTAGCGAGCTTAAAGCTTTTGAAAACTCTTGTTGATATGCGAAACGAAATACCGAGTGATTTTTATCTGCTGCAACAAAAATTTTTGCAAATTCAAAAATTTGTTTGATTGAGATCCCTGGATATAAAAAAATATATACATCAGTTTTATCTCGTACCATTTTCTTAATCATTTCATTAAAAACGTACACAAGCTCTCTTCTATCTTGCATGTCATTTTTTATTTTATATATATTACATAATATATACATATATTTTTAAAATTTGATAATAAATAATTTAAATTAAATAATATTAATTAAAGAATAAATTTTTAATTTGAATAAACTTCAATAAAAATAGTTTATAAATAAAAATGAATATTTCAGACACTTGAGATAAAAGAAAAAATATTAATTGAAAATAATTCCTTATTTTTATTTGCCGTAATAAAAATCTCGGATCAAATTCAAAAATCTGTTCGAAAAAATCCTGACACATAAAAAATAGATATCAGCTGTATGTCTCGTATTTATTTTCTCACAATTCTATTAAAAATTCGTAAGCTCTCTTCCAGCTCGCAGATACCATTTTTCGCTTCTGGATATAAAAAAATATATACATCAGTTTTATCTCGTACCATTTTCTTAATCATTTCATTAAAAACGTACACAAGCTCTCTTCCATCTTGCATGTCATTTTTTATTTTATATATATTACATAATATATACATATATTTTTAAAATTTGATAATAAATAATTTAAATTAAATAATATTAATTAAAGAATAAATTTTTAATTTGAATAAACTTCAATAAAAATAATTTATAAATAAAAATGAATATTTCAGACACTTGAGATAAAAGAAAAAATATTAATTGAAAATAATTCCTTATTTTTATTTGCCGTAATAAAAATCTCGGATCAAATTCAAAAATCTGTTCGAAAAAATCCTGACACATAAAAAATAGATATCAGCTGTATGTCTCGTATTTATTTTCTCACAATTCTATTAAAAATTCGTAAGCTCTCTTCCAGCTCGCAGATACCATTTTTCGCTTCTGGATATAAAAAAATATATACATCAGTTTTATCTCGTACCATTTTCTTAATCATTTCATTAAAAACGTACACAAGCTCTCTTCCATCTTGCATGTCATTTTTTATATATATCATAATATATACATATATTTTTAAAATTTGATAATAAATAATTTAAATTAAATAATATTAATTAAAAAATAAATTTAATTTGAATAAACTTCGAATATTTCAGACACTTGAGATAAAGAAAAAATATTAATTGAAAATAATTCCTTATTTTTATTTGCCGTAATAAAAATCTCGGATCAAATTCAAAAATCTGTTCGTGACACATAAAAATAGATATCAGCTGTATGTCTCGTATTTATTTTCTCACAATTCTATTAAAAATTCGTAAGCTCTCTTCCAGCTCGCAGATACCATTTTTCGCTTCTGGATATAAAAAAATATATACATCAGTTTTATCTCGTACCATTCTTAATCATTTCATTAAAAACGTACACAAGCTCTCTTCCATCTTGCATGTCATTTTTTATTTTATATATATTACATAATATATACATATATTTTTAAAATTTGATAATAATAATTAAATTAAAAATATTAATTTAAATTTAAATAAACTTCAATAAAAATGAATATTTCAGACACTTGAGATAAAAGAAAAAATATTAATTGAAAATAATTCCTTATTTTTATTTGCCGTAATAAAAATCTCGGATGAAATTCAAAAATCTGTTCGAGAAAATCCTGACACATAAAAAAAAGGTATCAGCTGTATGTCTCGTATTTATTTTCTCACAATTCTATTAAAAATTCGTAAGCTCTCTTCCAGCTTGCAGATACCATTTTTCGCTTAATCCTCCCATTAATCAGATCTCTCTCTCTCCCAAATAAAGAAACGTAGAAACTCGCCACGTGTTGTTCATCGTGTGACGCGAAAAAACAATCTTGTCCGCGGCGAGGTTCCTTTTTACGATGCGCAGGCAATATTTTTCCGGGGTACCACATCTGGAAGTTCGCCGCGAGATGCAACTTATGCACTGTCAGGGCCCCGGGTGCACACGTGCGGACGTTGCATATTGCCTTCTCTCTTCTTCTCTCCGCCAGCTTTTTCCATCCGGGTGTGCTAAATGCCAGCCGTGCACTTGAATTAAAACGAAAACGGCAACGAGGCCTGGCAACCGGTGCGCCGGACGTGTAATGCGTCTGCGGCGTTATAGAGCTAGATCTAAGTACCGGGGTGAAACGTTTCCGCCACCCCATATTCGCCCTCCTGGCAAGGGTACCCGACCTTTTGCTCCTCTTTTTTTTCCACGTCCGAATCGACAATCGATATATAATGGCCCACCCTCTTATACGTTATGTGCGCGTAAGATATATCGTAATGCAGGAGGTTTTTGCCTCTCTTCGGAAATTTATCCGCTGAAGTAGCTAATGAAATGTTAGCGGCGAGTGTGTAAAATAGAAAATAGCCTTTTGTATCGAACTGTTTACGAGAAGGCAGGAGAAAAAGGTCGATGGTGGTTTGCTCTACACAAAATATACAGCGGTTGAAAAGATAGCAAGACGCTTTCTCAGGATCGCTACGCGTGTAATGAATGAGAATTATCGTCAATATTTTATTGTTATCTATAATTATACGTACGATATATATTTTAAAAATCAAATTAAAAAAAAAGAAAAATATATATATATATATATATATATATAGATTTTTAATTTTATATTTATATCTATTTTTTTTTAATTTAATTAATATATATCAATGAAATAATATGAAAAATGGAAAATAAAATATATTGAATGAAATATTGAAAAATTTAATTTTAAATAAATTTTAATAAATTTTACAAAAATAATTTATAAATTAAAATGAATAT